AGGGTTCGACTCGACCCGTTCCCGAGCGGAGGGGCAGCAAGAGCCGAAAGCCTGAGGGGAGGGAGAGAGAAGAGGTGAGGGGGGGAGGCTACTGCCGACCCTGCCGAAATCCCGCCTGAGCCGCTTCCCACAGACCTCCTCCTCCTCCGCCTCAGTCCGTCCCAGGGTCGGGAGTCGAGAGAGACGATTTACCCCGCGGGCTGTTGCGCCCCCATTGAGGGCCCGCCGCTGTCCGTGAGGGGGGCGAGTCCGCCGGAGGGAGGGAGGGAACCAAGCCAGTCAAGTCAGCCCCCGAGACGGCCTGCTTCTTGCCGCCGCCGCCGCCGCCTCAGCTCCTCCATCCCCGCGGAGGGGGCCGTCGCTCTCGCCTCCGCCCTCTCTCCCGCCCCGCCCCGCCTCCCCTTAGCAACGCTTGGCAACCACCGCGGCCCACCCCGTTTTCCCGATGACGGACGGCTCGGGCGGAGCGGAAGTGCGGCGAGGAAGAGGCGCGCCCGCCCCGCCCCCTTCCCCGCTCGGAGGGAGCCAACCAGCCACGCGCGTGCTGCGAGCGAGCGAGCGGAAAGGGCCAATCAGGAGCCGCGGTTCGAGGGGGGGGGAGCGTGCGCTGTCCGGCGAAGCAAAAATGGCGGGCCTGTAATCCTGGAGGAAGGTTGGGCGTCGGTGTGTGAGGAGGGGAGACCGGGTCTCTTGGCGGGAAAGACGGCGGGTCTCTTGAGGGGAAGCGTCTTCGTAAGGGAGAGGCTGGGGCGAAATCTCAGGGGAAGGATAACCACCCGGTGAGCCTTCGTCGAAAGTGTGGAGGGGGAAGGGAAGGGACTCGGGGAGCGCCGGGATCGCTGGCTTTCAAGGTTATCGTTGAGCCGAGAAAATAAATGGCCAGGGAGAGAAATCTCGGGAAGGGAGGGGGTTTCCTCAAGGAAATGCTGCAATGGATTCTCTTTTTGAAATTTTTTAATTAAAGAAAAATAAGTATTTTTCTTTTAAGTATTTTTTATATTTCTATTTTTAAAGTATTTTAAAAAGAAAAATAAGTATTTTTCTTTTTTCCTGTAATGTATTACTAGTGTATGTTGATGGACTTGATCCACGAAAGCGCCCATTATGTGTATTTATGTGTATGTATTTGTGTGTGTGCGTCTAATAGTTAATCTTTAAAGTGCCACCGCGTTTTTGTCTTTTCTGTTTGTTCACTTTTATTTCTATTAATTTTTTGGTTTTCATGTCGAGGCTTGCACAGACGAACACAGATACAAGCTACTCCCGTCTACAAAGGGCGCCTTCCGGCAGAGAAGCAAGGGAACCAGATTTCAGAAACTGACAACCACATCCATAGAAAGTGCCCTTGTGGAAGGAGTAGCCATGTTTTAAGTCTGAGGCTTAGAGCTGCCGTACAGTACCCCATCCTAGCTTAAAGGAGGTTACTTCCCCATGCTTTTTAGCCTTTGCAAACAACAGAGAATTCAGTGTTTCTTAGCAGCAGGTAGTAAATTATTTTTTATGATGTCAAGGCAACACTGGTTAAGTTGTTGGTGTCTGTTTACACATGCATGCGAGCATCACATGTGCGTGCAAATGTAAAAACTTATCTGTTTTGCACCATACAGAATAGAACATATAATTTTTGTTTATGCTCTTGAGAAGTAATCTCATTGACCACTATTCTCTTGGATTTACCTGCAAGTCATATTCTACTTTTTTGAGAGTGCCGGTCTCATGTTTGATTGTGTACTAATTATACAACCTATTTCACAGTGAACATTTAGGGGTGGGGGGAAGAAAGCTCGCAATTGGCATTCAATACATAACGAATCAAACAGAATACTGGATGTTGTTTCTTATGCTGGCACTGCTTATCAGGAGACATTTTATTTGTGGGAGGGCCTGTGTAATGAACAATGTGTTGGACTAGGTCTGAGGAGGTGTGGGTTCAAATCCTTGATTGGCCATGGAAACTTTCAGGGAGGCGGCATTGGTAAAAAAAAACCTATTTAATTATCTCTCACACCTTTTTGCTCTAGAATAAGAGGCTGGGAGCCTGTGGCTCTCCAGATGTGGTCTACAGTTCTCATAATTTCTGGCCATTGGCCATAATAGTTCAGGCTGATGAGAGTTGAGGTCACAATACATTGAGAGCTAGAAGAATTTATGTGTACGTAGGCATTTCTTTAACAGTATTTGTATACAGGTCAAGACACTAAGCACTGAGTTCATTGGCTTTTAGTCGGATCTACATTCTTCCTCTTGTTTTGATGAAATGTCTGGACCTTTACGCTTAAGTTAGAAATACGCCTGGGAACGGAGAAATTAAAATATAAAATTTCTGGCTCAATTTTGTGTTGCCTTCATTAAAAACCATGGGCCGCACATCTTTGTAGATGCTGTCATGGTATACTCTGGTGATCTGGCTAGTTTTAAAATAAAGTGTGACTGAATATTAGGGAGTGGGGTGCACAAGCAGATGCCCACAGGCATCTGATGAGGCACAATATGCTGGATTAGACCTCTAGGCTGAATAAGCAAAACCCTTACTAAATTCTTGAGGAATTTTTTTCAGAAAAGAGCTATATTTCAGGACATAATTTAGGGGGACAAGACTTGTCATTTTTTGGCCAAACTTAATGTCCCATGATATTTCCAAGCTGGACCTCCTATTTTACAGTGTAAATGTATAATAGACGTACCTACCGTATTTTTAAATCTATAAGACACTACTTTTTCCTAAAATCATTTCCCTAAAAATTGAGGGACATCTTTTACACAGAAGTAAGCTGAGACAGCTGAGGAGAGATCAAAACAGCACATACCTTGCCTCTGTAAACAGGTTTCTTTCAGCACCGAGATTTAGTTTCCTACAGTCAGGAGACCTAGCTTCTTCCAGTCATGAGCCTTATGGAACTGAAATCAGCTGATGGTGAACAAACCAACTGAACACACCTCCTTGGAGGTGGAGCCTGTAGGCTGAAGATTCAAAAGAGACAAAATGTCCGACATTCTGAGCCCAGCGGTTGAATCCTCAAGCCTAGGTTTTCTTAATTTTTGGATTAGAAAATTGCGTAGGTTTTCTTAATTTTTGGATTAGAAAATGGGGGGCCGCGTCTTATAAATGAAGGCATGTTATAAACGGAAAAATACGGTTTTTAAGTGATTACAAGTGGGTACGATTCAGCTCTCTATGATGGGGGGCATGTTATAAACAGAAAAATACAGTTTTTAAGTGATTACAAGTGGGTACTATTCAGCTCTGTATGACAGGGCCACCAGCATTCAGCTTGCAGGCAGAGTGCAGCCCCACCCATTTGAAAGTACTTTTTTTTGGTATTTCAAAGGCCTTTGGGAACAGTAGTTTTCACTTTAAGGGGTCAGGGAAGCCAGATCCCCAAAACAACAGGAACTACACCTTTGTGTTACTTCCTAATAGCCAAACTCAACCATTTCTGGGTCAAGCCCCCTAAGATCAACCACTCTTTCTCATATACACGAGAGAGCTCTCTACCTCTCGGAGAGTTGGATTCCCTACCTACAGCTTACCTATGGACTAGGGTGTTGGCAAGGAGGAGGGGGACGATGCCCTCGAGGCTGCAGGTGTCACCATGGCAGGAATTAGACTTGAAGAGGGAGAGACAGGAAAGGCGTGCTGCTTGGTGGATGCTGTGGATTGGGAAGAGTGTGACGCTCAGGAAGTGCTGCCACCACTGGAGAAGTTAAAAGGCTGGGTGGGGGATGGGCCGCAGACATGATCCTAAGGCTAGCTGCTCGTGCCACTAGAGGAAGCTGCTGGATCTGTCGGTACCAGGCAAGCATCATGAGGCCTGATGGCTCCATAACCAGTGGCAGGCTCGCCATTGGTGGAGGAAGAGCCCAGGGCAAGCTGCCTCACTAGAGAATCCCCAGTCAGCCCCCTTCCTGGTTCTGAGGTCGGCCTCCTGCTTCTCCCCAGCTTGCTACATGGGTGACACCAGACAGGTCTTCATAAAGTTCTCCCTTCCATCTTGGGACAGCTATGAGGCAGGACTCCATTCCTATCAGTAAGAGACATTACAGAGGCACTGACCCAAGCACTGATAGCATGAAGTCAATTTCCCTGGCGTCCTGAATTACCCATTTTATGTTTGACTCCATTTTATGTTGGCCTTTTAAAAGTTCCGTTGTTTAATAAAAGAGCCTCTTTCAGCAATTACTCCCAGTGTTGTCATGACAGGGGCGTATGTGGGAAAACTGAAATATGCAATACTTACTTTCATAACAAACGTAAATTTGTTTTACCCTTTTGGCAATATGAGATTAATTTATTGTTTACCATTTAAAACTTCACTGTTTTGTCATATTTATGATGTACAAGACTATAAAAGCTTTGCACAAGCAAAACTATGAATATGACCTATAAACTACCCTCCCTGATTATACAGTGGTACCTCGCAAGACGGTTACCCCTCAAAACCCCTTTCCTATGGCCAGTCTTCGCTATACGATGATTCTTCCCCATTGGAACACTTTAAACAGGTTTCAGTGCATTCCAGTGGGGAAATGCTTTTCGCTAGATGATGATTTTGCTAAACAGCGATTTCAGTGGAACTGATTATCATTGTCTAGCGAGGCGACTGCATCCATCAACCCAGAACAAAGATGAGTAGCATCGGCAATGCAGTGCCATTCACACACCTTATGTTGGTTTTTTTGGAGTGGAAGGATCAGCTGTCAGGTGATATTGTCACTTAGGTGACATAGTCTTCCAGAGCAGTGGTTCTTAACCTTTGTTACTCGGATGCTTTTGAACTGCAACTCCCAGAAGCCCCAGTCAGGACAGCTGGTGGTGAAGGCTTCTGGGAGTTGCAGTCCAAATCTCCTGCGTAACCCAAGGTTAAGAACCAGTGTTCCAAAGGATGCTACTCTGCAGGTAAATTTAAGTACAGTACTTTTGCCCAGCTCTTCCTGGAATAATTTTACCATATGTTATGCAGGCAGGTCACAACAAAGGAAGTACAAAAGGATTCCTTCAGATCACTCCCGTTTTCAAGCTGTCTTTTTGCCTGAGTGGCAGTGATAATCAGGGCATTTGATTTTAATGGCTTCACAAACTCTTGTGCCTGGGTCACTAACATTCCTGTTTCATTAAGTAATAATTATTTAAAATTTATTCTGTTTACTATTCTTTCCTGTGCATTCAACACATGCTTATCTGTAATAATAATTTCCACATTTTTCTTTCCCAATGATCCAGGGACTAAAAATGATAAGAGAAAGTTTTCAGGAATCTGGTTTTAAAAACATACTTAATGATGCAAGAAGACAGGATTTGGAGAAGAAGTTTGAGCAGCTTCCCAATGCAGATAAGTGAGTGACGCTTTGCAAAGATTTGAATTTCAGCATTATTTATTCTTCATTTTCCATTTCCAAACCATTCATAAAATTGCAAAATGGGGCATGTTGTAAATAGTTTATTCACAAGGATAAGTATTAGAACTCTGAGACATATTCCATAGAAACACAGCAAACGTCTGCCCAAACTCAGTGTGGCTTTGAATACCTCCTGCGTTATCTCGGTTCATAAAAATGAGAGTGTTGTTGCTCAGAGAGGGGAATCCCAAAGTATTTTGTGTGGTAAGTTCTATTAAAATCTGCCAGTAAAATCTCAAAGTCACTATCCAGGGATGTTTAATACACTAAACCTGTAGTTGTTGTGCCCTTCACATAATGCTTGAATCAGGGACCAGGAGAGACTGCCAGAATGAGTTGAAGTACAGGCTGCCTTCTTGTGGGAAAGGCGATTTCTGCAACCTTGGGAGGGACAACTGCATCTACTATTTTGAGGATCCTCTCAGAACTGGTCACTCCAGTCTTATTTTGGGCAAACTTAGTTTTGGCAGCTTGACTCTAGATGCTTTTGAGGAAGTAAATTATCAAGAACTGTTTAAATCTAGCTTGGGCTTAAGTATGACACTGAAAATGCTTTGGTTGCTGTGATGGATGACATTTGTTTGGGGAAAGACAAGTGGCAACATTTAATTATTACTGGCACTGTTAGATCTCTGAGGTTTTTGATGCCACTGACCAATGTTCTTTTCTGGGTCAACTGTCGGATGTGTGTTGAAGGCATGGTGACATATGTTATGCTTGCACCCGATTGATTTCAGAGAGTTGCATTCATGATTTTTTCTTGTCCCTTTCCCCCAATATTTACTTGAGCTGGGGAGGAATTCAAGAGCTACATGGAAAGCTACCTTATACTGAAACAGGCTATTAGTTATTTTAGCCAATAATATCAGCTTTGACAGACAATACTTTTATTCATTGTCGAAGATTATTTTTTTGGCCTCTAGCTGGAGTCTGAAGTACAAGCCCAACCTTGCTCACTTTTAAAAATCAGATGAGGTTGGGAACATTCAGAATGTTTAGTACAGTATAAGACTCACAAGGATCTGCTACCCTATATAGTTGTTAGCATTGAATGTTTATGTGTGTGTGTGTTGTCATATAATGATGCTGAATGAGGTAATCGGGATAATGAAGTGACATCGATGACACGCATGCCAAATTCTCTTTGTTAGACTAGCTGTCCTAGAGTCGGGAAGCATGGGATGAGGGCTAGTAAACAATCCTGATTATAGATCTTGAATGCAGGTGGATTTCACATTACAGACCTTGGGTATGCAACCTGTCTTAAAGGACAGTTGTGTATCTTGGGAGTACTCCTGGATCCACCATTGCTAATCAAATTTCAAATGGCTAGGAGTAGATCTTCTGATTCAGTTGGCTTCAGAGGTACATAGGTCAGCCACAGTAGTTTATGTTCTGGTAACTTCTCAGTTAGATTTCTATAATGCATAAAATGTGTAACTGTCCTTAATGACAATACCAAGGCTTTGGCTAGCATTAATACCTGAGGCACATGTCAGTCAGAGCGCACATTAGTAAGTCTGATAACTAGGCAGAATCCTAAATGTCTTTTCTTTCCAACAGGTATGTATTTCAACATGGACCTGTCGTCCTTTCAGTAAATTCGTCTTTCTGTGGCTTGCTATCAAATACTTTATTCAGGCGTGTCCTGCATGTTACCCAGGGTCGTTTTTCATCCACTTTACCAATGGTGTTTATACCACTCATCTCAACAATGGTAACATATGAAGCTGCCGTACGGCAGCCTTTAATGGAAGGTATGTTTTTTTGCATCCATTCAAATCCTCTTTCAGATGTCTGTAATAATAATAATCCATCATGCTGTACTTGACAGTTCAGTGCCAGCAACCTGATGTGGTTTTGATTGCAACTCCCAATCCCCATTTAGCTATGCTGACATAGGGTTAATGCAAATCAGAGGCCAACACATAACATATGAGTACCTACTCCTGAAGGATTAATAGAAGTATTAATATCAATACTTGTCGTAGTCCTTTTAGCATCCCAGGTCTACTTTGTTGCAGAACTGATACTGAAATTTTATGACACTATCCCTTGAATAATTACAAACAACTGTGTTTTCAACCACTTGCAATGCAGTTTTTTAATAAGCCAAAAAAATGCTGAGAAAAAATTGTCCAAACAAAGGTTTTGCATTTTCTCATTACTATCCTTTATCTCAGGCACTGTGATGTGCTGTCATGTTTTGGTGAGCCACAACATGAAGAAAGAGATGTAGCATATTCCTTTTGGCAACAACATGGTCCAAAAGGTCACTGAAATTCTCAGTCAGTTCAGGACACACATTTTAATAGTACTGATAAGTTGGAATATATAATTCCCATGGAGTCAGAAAATATGACAGAATTCAGTTTTTATTGTCTGCCTAGATAGGAGCTGAAATGGCCATAGTAGCTTATCTCCAAACTAATGTCTTTATTCTAATTTGGTTAATTGAGTTATCATTACTATCTTTTTCAGTACTTCTTTCCAAGACAGCTGAAATTTTTGATGAATCAATATTTACAAAATAAAATCAGAGTACACCTTGTTCTGCTGCTCTTAACAGATACAGAACAGAACCTAAGGGCTTTCAAATACTCAACGTTGATGTTGGCCACTTTACCTACTAGAAGATGTTGTGTGGACCATACTTTCTTTGCAAGGGTACTGTAACATTTTTGAAATTTTCCTGCTGGCCAAGGAACAATTAACTCCTCATATTTGAGGAGGAGCTATGCTACTTTGGTCCTCTGAATTCCAAAAAGCAGTAGATATGCCCAATCTATGAGCTTTTATTTGTTGGCGCATTCCTCTGTCCTCGTAGGGCAGATTTAATCATCTTTGGGGAAACAAGAAACAATGGAAGTGATATGTGTGATGGCAGTACTTCTACAGCATATACAGTGGTGCCTCGCACAACGGGTGCCTCACACAACGATGAATTCACACAACGGCTTTTTCTGATAAATTTCCCGCCTCACACAACTATGTTTCCTATGGGGGATTTTCACACAACGATGTCTTTTCCCTCATTTAAAACTGCCTTAAACTGTTAAAACAAAAAATCACCAAAAATTAACGAAGACTCAGAACAACACCAAATTAAGTTTGCATAGGTTTCAGGAGGTGGGCTAACGATTGCAAGCATTTAAAACAGGCTTCAAACAGTTTAAGACACTTTTACAGGAGCGAAAAGAGCTTCAAAAGCAGAGAAACGGAGATCAAAGAGCCCTTTCCGATGTGCCTTTTCACTCCTGTAAAAGTGTCTTAAACTGTTTGAAGCCTGTTTTAAATGCTTGCAATCGTTAGCCCACCTCCTGAAACCTATGCAAACTTAATTTGGTGTTGTTCTGAGTCGTTAATTTTTGGTGATTTTTTTTGTTTTTCCCTCATTGAACTCTATTGAACTGTCCGTCCAATACATTTCAATGAGAGAGAAAACAAAAAATCACCAAAAATTAACGAAGATTCAGAACAACACCAAATTAAGGTTGCATACGTTTCACAAGCTGGACTATTGATGCCGAGCATGTAAAACAGGTTTCAAACAGTTTAAGGCACTTTTAAATGAGGGAAAAGAGACATCGGAATGCCATTCAAATGCATTGAGTCGGCTTCAATACATTTGAATGGAGGAAACATTGTTTCACTCATCGATGTTTCCTATGGGGATTTTCGCTCAAGGACGGCAATCCGTTCCAATTGGAACGGCTTAACCGGTTTTCAATGCATTCCTATGGGAAATGGTGTTTCACAGAACGATGTTTCACACAACGTTGATGTTTCTTGGAACCAATTAACATCGTTGTGTGAGGCACCACTGTACTTATTTTAACATTTTATCCATATTAGGAAATTTTATCTTAAAATACTGTCATTTTAGCCTCCAATAATGAAGTTGCAGTTTAATTTTCATAATGCTATGGATAGTTAAAGTTCCACTCGAAAATGATTTTAAGCCACAAATGCTTACCCTAACCCACTTCTATTTTTCTTTTACAGGTGACCTAAATTGTTCAATTTGTGCTTTTATCCGAGGCGGCTTAACTGGAGCTGTTGTCGGTTGTTTGCATCCTGTTTTTATAGCTTTACCGCTGAATGCATGTCTTGCGGCAAGGTATGTTTTAATCCAGTACTTAGTGACCAATATTGCATCCTTGAACTACCTTAACTCAAATTGTTGAATTGTAATTGTTTCAGTTTATTCATAAAATTAGAGTAGAAAAGAGGCATGCTATAGATACATCCTTCAGTGCAAAAAAAGCCTCCAGCTATTTGAAAGCTTTTGGGGAGGGAGCAGAGTAATCAGGGGTGGGAACTGTTTATTTGTGGCCATGAATTTACCAAATTAATCCATTGGCATGGCATGGCTGTGTGTAACTGAGGGCAAAGAGAACCTGAACAGACTTTACAGCATTACATAATCTTATAATTACATCATCCACTTTCATATATGCATGCACACGTACTATGTAAGAATTTAGGGGTCAGTACAGAAGTGCTATGGACAGTTGAATAATGTTTAACTATGCAAGAAAACACTGAAGGCGACAGATTTCCTGCTGCAGTTGAAAATAAATGGCTAATCTAAAATGCAAATGAAAGAGGTTTTGTTTGGGTTTTTTTTAAGTATTACAGTAGGACTACAGTATCTGCAGGGTCAGAAAGACCAGCAGTCATAAGACTGAATCCACGCAATGCTCGTCGCTTTGTCCCAGCTCCTCGCCAACCTAGCAGTTCGAAAGCATGTAAATGCGAGTAGATAAATAGATACCATCTCGGTGGGAAGGTAAACAGCATTCCAGGTCTAAGTTGCGCTGGCCACGTGACAACGGAAATTTTCTTCCGACAAATGCTGGCTCTGCTGCTTGGAAACGGGGATGAGCACCGCCCCCCTAGAGTCGAACACGACTGACTAAAATGTCAAGGGGAACCTTTACCTTTTTACAGTATCTGAGGATTGGTTCCAGGACCACCCCCATGGCAGAAAACACAGATATAGAAACCTTATATATAGCATAGTTTGTGGTTACCTCTAGCAGGCAAAGAATTTTTTCTTCAGGCAAGCTTTCCCTGAATCAATGTCTGCTGAGTAGGATTTTTTAAATAGTTGTAGCTTACTGCATTGTACGGGCCTTCAGTGTTGCTTACATTTTTTTTGGTATTGTATTCATTGACCATTTTAGTATTATATATACACATTGTTGCTAACTTAAATATTGTCTTTTATTTGTGGTAAGCCACCTTGGGTCTTTTTTTGAGAAAGGCAGGTTAAAAATATTTTAGATAAATAAATAGTGGCCAGTTCTGGTAATACACACTGGAAACATATTTTGGGGGAGGTAGTTATTTAATATTTTCAGGAAGCAGATAAGTGAAATTGTGGGTACTGATCCTGCAGATACAACAGCCCTACTGTAAGTCAACTGTGGTGTTTTTATTTGCAAAAATCTACATCAGCCTGTAGAGTTAATCCAGTATATTCTGTTAAAAATCAGATCTCTAGATTATAGAACACAGAATACTATTTTGCTTCTTCCTTGTCTTTTATCAAATAACTCAAATTAGTCCTCTTTTACCAATATTATGTTATGGTTACACTTATGCTTTAACTAACAACCATGCACCTAATTCTTCAGCTACAATATTAATGTCAACACTTCTTTACATAGCCTACGTCCATCTTCCAGCAGTCAGCACACTAACAGTTCAAGGTTTTTTTGCAGTTAGTATATTACTATGCTAACTGCTCTATGCAGCAGAGCGCAGCAGCCACAACTTTAAAATTGTAATATATTATACTACTTGTTCTTCCTGCTTTTAGGTATAATACATCCCCCATGCCAAGTAAAGAAAACATGCTGAAATACTGGAAGGGAGTTTGTTATCCAGTTCTGAAAAAGATGAGATTCGCTATTTTTCTGCAGTTTGCACTTGGTGCATATCTGGGCTCACGACAACATGCAATATATCTGAAGATGCTGAAGATGCCTGGACTTAAAGATCCTGAAGAACTGGGTGATTAAAATGTCTGCTATAATTTTTGTGGGTTTTTCTTTTCCTCACTTGTCTTGTTTGTTGATGTCTTAACAATATTAGTCTATGCCATCTGCAGCAATTTCAGGTCAGTTAGCTGACTATTTAACTACACCTAGGAATGGTTGGCATATTCATTTGTGAATTTGGCTAACCAAAAGAACTACTGGATAGCTGTGTGATTTAGGTATCTGGCTGTGGTGCCAAAGTTTGGGCATTTGATTCCTTCCTGTGCCTCAACGGGCACAGGGGCTGCACTCAATGATCCATAGACTCCCTTTCTAGCTCTACTGTTCTAAAAAGGACGATGAAACCAAAAACCATTGTTCCCAACTACCCACATACAGACAGGAATGAAGTTACTGGAGTCTCATGATGGACTTTTGAATCAAATGTACCAGAATAACTAATGGCAAAAGCAATGGCTGAAATCCTCTTGCAGCAGCAAATTTCTATCAGTTAAAGGTGATTCTAGAGTGTACACAACCTGTACAACACATGCGATTAAGGTCGCTCTAAACAAGGTTATCTAAATCAATCTCCAAAGATTTTCACAACCAGTAAGTTCCTTGCCTTTCACACATTTGTTTTCCATTTATTCTTACTTCGAATGATTGGCTGTAAAAGTCTGTACCTATCACTTGTCATTAAATAACTGAAGTATTCTAAACATGCATTTCAGGTATTTTATGATTTCTTAATCTTTATCCATTTGCCTTAGTACTTCCAGGGTCACCCTTGTTATCCAAGAAATCGCTATCCTGCAATAAATCTACATTTCAAATGGTCCTATCTTTTTAAAAAGAGTATCATGTGTTAAAAGGAAGAGGAATAAAAATCTTTGAAATAAATTATTTTAAAATTTAGATTGGATTTTCTGTTTAGTTTTCTAAGTGATGTGGTGACGGTTTTAATTAAAATGTGTTCTTCCACAAAGATCTCATTAAGGAATAAGAGTTATAAATTATAATTCAGAGATTGAAATCCGGTTGCTTAAGTGTAAGTAGGCCCACTGAATCAATGGGGACTGTGTAAGTGAACTCCAGAAGTTCCATGAATTTGGTGAGCCTGCTCTAGTTATGACTTACCATACCAAGCAACAGGATTTCAACCTTCATGTATTAAATTTCATCTGATTTTACAGCAAAGCCTAATGCAAGTTTTTAATGGCAGTTATGGCATGATAGATTTAAAGAGTGACATACTATTACTGCCTCCAGTGAGCTTCCACAATCAAGCAGAAATCCAAAGCCTTAATCCATCACTCTGTCTAATGTATCAAATTCCTTCTGAATCTATAGTTTTATATATAAGGTCTTTCTTGGATTGGGCCTCAATTTTACAGGGTGCCACAGGCTTCAAATGACTCCCCCCCCCCTTTCTCTCCAAGTACTCAGTGTAGTGATGGAATTTTTCAAGATTCCAGGACTCCCAACTATATAATTTGGTGGGAACTCCTCCAGGCTGAAATGTGGGACTGGGAGTCCTCAAACCAGCAGGAAGCACAATAGCCCCTCATCTCTATGCCATTCCTACAGTGCTTTTTCAACTGTTCGGAAAAGTTCCCCACTGCACTGCTGGAGTTGTGAAGATTCAGTGCAACTTCTAAAGGTACAAGGGGCAACAAGTCCAGATGAGTGCATGGAGGCAATCTCCACTGGGACTCATTCACCCATATACCTCTGTAAATTGCAGGGAATCCTCACTGAATAGCAGGGCATTTTTCTAATGGTTCAAATAACTATTATGGGAACAGCATGGAGCTCACAGGGCTGCTCTCTTTTCTGCTGGTATGAATCAGTTCTTGAATTCCAAAAAACCCACCCCTGGTTCTCAAACCTAGTACTCAATCTAGAATACCATTAAAATTGTAGTTTTCAAACTGGATTTGTGCCTGCATAGGGAAATACGACCTAAAACTGCAATTTAGTTACGCTGCTTATGGCTGATGACATCATCAGCCATGGCAGTTTTGTTTGGAAATAAAACATTTGACACCACCACTGCCAAGGCTCCCACAGAATCTCTTTCATCACTGGGGGCCATGCGATGGGATGACTATCAGTGGCAGTGATGTTAGGTCATTAACTGCTCCTCTCATCCTGTGGCCACCAATAGCTTTCCCAAAACCAAAAAGATTCCACAGAGGCCCAAACTTTACTTGTTAATTCATTAACTTCGTAATTCAGAGAAGCTATGTCGTGCAGGGACACCCAAGATGGACAGGCCATAGTGGAGAGTTCTGACTAAACACGATCTACCTGGACCAGGTAGGTGGGGCTCGTCAGCCATGGAAGGCAGCCCATCTAGGAGAAGGAAAAATAAGATGGTTTAAAAACACTGCCTTGTGGCTATATCCACTGATGGAAAAGGCTTCAGGAGTAAACCTTGAGGCAAAATCTGGAGCTGGAGTCTCAGAGGCAGTTCATGTCATTCTGGCAACTCCTGCGACGTCGCTGGAACCAGTTGTATTGGCTCTTGCCTCTCCACTGGACTATTTCAGCTACATGGAGCTTGGCTCTTGCCTCTCCACTGGACTATTTCGGCTACATGGAGAGGGGGGATTTGCTACTTGGGTAACAGCCTATCCTCCATATTATTCTACCCAGGCTTCCTGCTCTGGAGAGGACACTATGAGCGTGTTACCATGGTCTTTCGAGACTGAAGGATGCCTAAGAAGTAGTGCTATATTTTATCTATTCTGCTTGTTAATTATAGCTCCATCAGCAGCAAGTGCTCTAAAAATGCTTTCGGTCTACAAACTATACATGGTTTTCTAGACATCATTAACTGCCTTACACAGTTACAGGAGTAATTTATAGAAGGCAAATTCAGTTGTAACTAATGATTTTCTCTACAGTAAGTCTAACCTATCCCTCCCCCCTCTATTTACACATGCACAACATTTAAAGCCCCACAATAAATACAGTGGTGCCCTGCTTGACGGTTACGTCATTAGATGAAATCGCTTGATGACTAGTTTTTTGCGATCGCAAAACGATGATTGAATGGGGTATTTTCGTTTGACGATCGGTTCCCTGCTTCGGGAACCGATTTTTACGCATAACATCGGTTCCCTGCTTCGGGAACCAATTTTTACACGTAACGACGATCAAAACAGCTGATCCTCGAGTCTTCAAAATGGCCACCCACTGTGCAAAATGGCTCCCTGCTGTGTTTTAGGACAGATTCCTCGCATTACAGGCACCGGAAAATGGCCGCCCTATGGAGGATTTTCCCTGGACGCTGAGGCATTTCGCCCACTGGAATGCATTAACTGGGTTTTAATGCATTTCAATGGGCTTTTTACTTTCGCTTGACGATGATTTCGTTCTACAGCGATTTTGCTGGAATGGATTGTCCTCGTCAAGCAAGGCACCACTGTACTGGAAACTGAGCGTATCAAACAGAAACTTTACATGGCCTTTCCTCATGTCTCTCCTACTTAAAGAGTATTAACTGCTACAAACCAGTTTCTACTTTCGCTTGACGATGATTTCGTTCTACAGCGATTTTGCTGGAATGGATTGTCCTCGTCAAGCAAGGCACCACTGTACTGGAAACTGAGCGTATCAAACAGAAACTTTACATGGCCTTTCCTCATGTCTCTCCTACTTAAAGAGTATTAACTGCTACAAACCAGAAGCAACATTCACTCCTCAAACCAGTAACTGAAATCTATCAACTGAGTAGCATACAGCAAGATTTACATTATGCCTGATTATAAAGACAGTAGTCATAATTGTACTAAAAGGTGATTTCCTAGTTTGCAATGGGAAATAACTATAAACCTCTTCCAATGGAAGAAAATACATGTTATCCACTGGGATAGACAATATTGAGCAGACATTTGTCCACAACCACCTTCCAAAGCATCAGAATGGAAGCAAAATCCCCAAAACATGCCAGTAGGAACTGAACAAAGTGGGTGCAGAATGCTAATTTGTTCTTGCTAGGAGGAAGACTAAAAGGAGTAAGATGGAGTTGGTGGAAGATTAAACAAACACTCCATGCTTTAAAATTTATTTTGGAATTTGCCTCGGGAATAAAATAACTCCTCAGATCTTCTGGTCAAGTACTCTTTAAATTTACATCAGAATCTTATGCATCTCAACTGAAGAATGGTAATTTCATTTCCTAAACAACAATGCAACTCAAAACTGATCCATTGTAAACAGGTCTCACAAACTCAAAGGATCTAGTTTTTCACAACAGAAAACAAACTCAAAGGATCTAGTTTTTCACAGCAGAAAAATTAAAAATAATTGAATCTCCGTTTAGCGACGATTTCACATAGCGAGGGTTAATCCGGAACGGATTAACCTCGCTATGCGGGGCACCACTGTATAAAGAATTGAATATGTTTCCCTATAAGCTGTATATTCATTTCATACAGCACACGGAGAAATGAAATTCTGCATACAATTGGTGAAGAACTGCTTTCCTATGACCTGCAGAAATCTACCCCAAATGTGCTTGCTGGACAACAGCACTTTATGATGGATGCCAAGCAGCTCCCATCCAATATCAACACTACACATTTCATGCTCAACAGCTCACATCCAAATATGTTAACAGATGTGGCTCTGGCAGACACGCTGAGTCACTGGCCATTGTAATGCTGTTAAGGATCTCAGTGACAACAGACAGCATCACAGGAGTCCACTAAATTAGCAATGCCCAGCAACAAGACTTCCTCTTCTATGTGCTCTTCAGACATTTATACTGACCATCAACCTGATCCTAAGGGCCAAAGGAAAGAATATGATTGCAGAATCCTACAGGAAGATCTCTTCACCATCATCTAAGATACAGTGGACCCTTGACTTACAGACAGCTTGACTTACAGACTTTTTGAGTTACAGACTTCTCTGGCCGCAAAATTTAGGTTTGACTTGCAGACTGAGATTTGACTTACAGACCAGAAAAAAACCAAAATGGAACAAAAACGGCCTGTTACGGGATTAATCGGTTTTCAATGCACTGTAGGTCAATGGAGACTTGACTTACAGACTTTTTGACTTGAGAACCACCTTCCAATATGGATTAAGTTCTCAAGTCAAGACCCCACTGTAGTGGTGTCACACACCTCCAATAGCAGGAAAAAGGTTCTCATTTAAAATAAAAACCTTTCTGAAAAATGTGATAGGGAAGCCTTGGGAGGCTGTATTTTATACACACTGATTTTTAAAAAGTTTTGTATAGTTATGGCCTTATCACTCAAAATCAACTCAGCACCCTTAAGAAATTCCCCTATCCTTCCCAATGTGTAACAGAGGATCTCACCAAAATAATTCCGAATTCACAGCTGTGATAAGCAGAATTTACTGATATATACCTATATCCTCTCTTGCTTCTGGAGCACCCCTCACCACTGGCTATGCTGGGCAAAGCTACTGGAAGCTTCAGTCCGACTATGAGTACCCAATACTGACTTAAAACATGCCCTTACAAAATACCTAGAAAATGACAAGCAAAAAAATGAACTTTTTGGCAGCACCAGTCCACTGTTTTTCAGAGCAGTAAACTCAAGTTAATCTTACCTACAATTAATGCAAAATCTCTTTTTCCCCCCTGCATTTGAAAACCAATTCACCAAAGTAAAAGAAAGACTTCTAGTTTTAGTTAAATAGTAGCAGACTGATAGTAACTCAGTATCCATTTTGTTGGGACGCCAATATGAGACATGGCTCTCCACAATTAGTTTGATACCATCTCTCCAGGCAGGTGTAAGATGCAGAGAAATGATTCCCCCCACGATACTACTAAGCTGTTTAAAAGGAAAATAAGAGAAAGAGATTAATTTTCAGTGTTACAGTGTACAGACATTTACACATTTGTGAAAGTGAAAAAGAAAGTAGAACAGAATATTCAATGGGTCTACTCTATCACTACCAACTGAATTCAAACCAATATGTGGGTGTAAAAAGAATATGAATGTATTTTAGAAGCTGAAGTATTTGAAATCCTACTATTAATATACTATTTTAAATCATGCTTGCCAAACTCTTGCTGGATCTGCACCTAAACATTTAAGTCAAGTTGAGTTGCGGCAAACATGTAGTTTTGTCCATTCATTCATTCATTCCCCAATTCAACAGTCATAGAAAGATTAGAGATATTCTGGCCACAAGTGCATCCATGAGACTTATCTACAGGCTTTCCTATGAAGCCCACAATGATTAAGTCAGGTGCCAGACTACCAGAAATATGTATGACTATCTTTCAAAAGACAATATGACTTGGATTACCAAGCAATTGGTCTTGACAAGTAGGCTACACTGACTGAAATAGTCTGTAGTCTTCATCTTAGGACTCAGACCCCGATACTGCAAGAACTGATGAGAATTTTTTTGGATATTTTTCTTTCTGCAACACCCAACTTGAGATCACTGGACTCATCTATTTCTTATTTTTTAATGGTTCAATTCAAAGAGTGGTATTATCTACTCTTATATAGTCCATTTTGCTTCATCTGCATAAAACATACAATCAACCAAATGCAGAGCTTTGAAAAGACCCTGCAGGGGGAGAAATTGTGGAGTTGAACTGTATTACACATTCAACCAGAAAAATTACTTAGTGACCCTGGATATAATCTACATCACTGGATTTGTTGCAAGGAGAAATGTTTACCACAGGATAAGAAGAAACACATAGAAGTTAATGGTAGAGCGAGGTCACAGTGCTGCAAATAAAGAACAATAGTTTTATCAGAATCCTGTTTCTAATTGCTGGGTTTTTAAAAACAGCCAACCTAAGAAACACGTTGATATGATGTAAACAGGAAAAATACTCAGGTTGTTCAGTTCATAATCTGCTTACTTATCAAACTCAGCAACACATAAGATAATTTTAAACAACTAACAAGAACCAATGCCTTGTACAAAATACAGCTGTTGGCTTTTCCTTATTTTTATATGCCAAAATCATTTTCATGAAGGGATTATTCAAGTTGCTGTGATTAACTGAAGAGATGCCAGGCACATATTAGTTCAATGCCTAGTTACACACCTAATTACGCACTCTGACTCCATGTCAATTATCCACAGCAATTTGCAGAATCCCTCTGAAAGCAGCTGTAGGATTTTGGCCATCAATTATCAATTGGACTATCTCAATATTATTGCAGCATTTTAATTATTACTGTTCTGCATGCACAACTAAATGAGAACTGGTAACATCTTAATAGCCTAAAAAAAGATGGGGCAGGAACAGACAGCAATTTGTTTCATACATTGGAAGGCTGTGAATTTTTTCCTTGGTACTTGTTAAAATAACTATATGCATTGTGTAATTTTAACCTGGGTGACAAAAGGAGTTGTGTAAAAATGCTGTAAATCAAGGAATACCTAACACAGCCAAAATATTTCTGACCACATAATGCACTAATTCCTAAATCATAGAAAGAGCAAAGGGTGTATGGCAAGAAATTGCAAGTGGGTCAAAAGACAAGGATATTTTTTATTACAAATCACTTTTTTTGTTAAAATAGGTTTGGGGTGGTAAAGGAGAAATGGTGTAAAAGCTTCTCAAAAATTAAAAAGGGCATATCCTGAACTCTGAGAACTGCTATCATAAATAACACTATGAACAGCAGTATTATTCTATCCCCAACCAGAGCAAGATACCAGCATTTATAATGCTTCTAAACAAAGTCAGTCCTGCTTAAATACCGAATGAACCATTTTGCAAATAAGTCATAACTAACAGCTGTTTTTAAAATTAACATTCAAGTGACTTAAGAAAAAAATCCTTTGAGTCTGTAAATTGAAGATAAATACATCTCTTTTTTATTAGGACATTGCGTCGTTTTAAGTATGACAGAACTAGTTACATAGAAACATTCATACATTTTTCAAGTACTGTTAAGATTATTCTGTTCAAGGCTTCCACTTCAAGAAATATTTAATAATATTCCACCAACTAGTAAGCAAGAAGGAGGGGAGGTTGCAATTCTATTTGGCTTTAAAATGTGCCAAAAGGCACTAAAATCCCTGCATTCAGATTTCTGGGTTTTTTTTTCTTAGCAGATGTGTCACTTGCCATGCTGAGCATATTAACAACTCTGTGTGTATTTAAATACAACAGTTTATTCTTCAGTGGGCACTGACACACAAGGTGGATAAAATACCCAGAATATTTTTATCCAATAAATTTGTTTCAAACATACAAAAGAAAAGGGGAGGAAATTTTCCACTTCCACAATAATGTCACGTCAACAAAATGCCTATGGTGAAAAGTAACTGTAAAAATGCACCAACTGCAGAAAATATGAAGCGTAGCAAACAATGATCAGTCTACTAAAGAAAAACTAGCAATATAAAGTAGTATAGGATAAGAGACAATAAGCTTTAGAAAGGCAGAGTTACTGGAGGGGCCATATAAAAAGAACCTATTCCAATTAAAAACTGAAAAACATAACACAGAGTAAGAGGAGAAACTCAAAATCCTTCGTATATATGTATGCACGTGTTATGTATCAGTTATATATAAAGACTGATAATTCAGAGAAGCAAGTATGTGTGTAACATTACAATGTAAACACCCATACTCAAGGAAAAAAACAGCGGATTAGGATTTACTTTTAATTGCACTCCTAAATGTATCACAGAAATCTTGTTACTGAGTTAAGACCAATGGTCTTTGATACCTCAAATGAATGTTGAAATGATAGCCAATCACACAAAAAAACAAGAGCCCACTGATTAACACAAAAGCAAGTGCTTTTTTAACACAGTTACTTTTCACATTACTACCATATTAACTTTCTTGACAGGTTAGATTAGTTATTCAACTGATTCACATTATTGTCTTACTATTCTTTTAATATGAAATAGAGGAAATGCCCTGTTACCTTCCCCCCTTTTTCTCATACTACCTTTTAAAATAAAGCAGGAAGTGTGGCCAGCAGCTGGTCCCGTCTCTTCTGCCCCATGACAGCTGTATCCACTTTAGCATAAAGAAAAACAAGGATGCTAAATACACATATACTTTATCAAACAGCAAGATTTCACAAAGAATAGCATCATGTTGCAAATACATGCTCGAACTGATTCTGAGAAGAGATTACATATTTTTTTTACAGAGCAAAAGACTCTTCATTTACCTCTATTTCAAAACAAATCATAAGAGAAGAAAGGAAAAGCCTCCTTTAGAGGATACAATATATATTGCCAGATTCAACATTCTTTGTGAAACCTCACTTTACATTTGCTTTTGCAACCCTTGCTTCCCCAATTTACAGAAATTCAAATATTAAACAGTTCAACACAAAAGAAAATGCTGATGCAGGGAAATCATGGAACTGGTTCAAAACCAATTAAATAACAAACTTTTCTTAACGTTCAACATAGACAGTTGTATAAGCATTAAGAAGGATCATTAGCTCACTTCTATTTTATTCCATTTAATTGTGAAAAGTTAAAACTGGCGTTCCAATTTTCTTTTATTACAGTTTGGTTAAATGTAGTGACCAGTTTAAGACTTAGAGCAGATGTAACTGACAAAATTTTATTAGCTAAAATGTTCCAACCCCCTCCCCTTTTGGACAACAAATTTAATTAAAGTTTAATGTATTCTTTGAACTACCATCTTTAAGCTTCTTATAGCTGTGCAGTGAAAGAACTCCGACTTTGTCTCACTGACAAAATCTGTGTAAATACAGTTGGGAAACTCCTACTTCCACATTACACAATTCTTATTGTATAATTTATCCCAAACAGGTGAAACAGAAAGGACCCAACATTTTAAGTCAGGAACTTAGTATCCTTACTTAGCCATATGGCCCTCCCCCTATTGCTAATCTGGGAAGCTAGTAGTTAACAAAAAATTTCTGTAAGTCCAAAAGCTTTATATCAATGGACAAAGTGAAATGTATAGGGGCTCATTTATGTCTTTAAACATAAATTCTCATTTAAAGAGCAGATTTTTGTTCTTTCTTTTTCCACAATATTGCCAAAATGTATATTTTGGTTTAAAAAAAGTTCTGAAATATGTACTCTCAATGTGTAGAGGGGCTACATTTAGCAGGTATTTTGAAGTTATTTTTCATGTTAGAAATAAAGAACGGCAAAGACTACAATGAGTAACCATTACTTGCAAATTGCTCAGGTAGGATTAAGTGATTCTAAAAACTTCAAAATGGCTCAGGGACTTCTGGACATTTCTAATGACTAGTCCAGGACAATTTTAAAAAACCCTCAGACTAAGCATCAAAGCAAAGTTGTCTGATACCATATTATGGGAATATGATGGATCCTTACCAGGTTGCGAAGTGGAAAACGACTTTTCTTTTAACCCCTACACAACGGAGCCTGGCAGGGCAAGCACCTAAAAGAGAAACTGTCAGAGAAGTTTAATAGTAATGTATAACAGATGTGTTATAATTTCACATGCACGTTTTAACTGCCTCCTGTGTGATACTACTGCTTTGTTCTTAAATCTGTCCAGTGAAGTTGTTGACATTTATGCATTTTCAATTTCCCAGGAAAGGACACTGGATTTTATTTGCTAGACAACATTATTTGTGCCCAGCTGTTCTTGCCAGTTTTTTTTTAAACATACAGGTAGTCTCCAACTGTGCCGCCTGAATGTCATTTTCAGAGATGTTTCGACCTTTGTGCCTTAAAAGCAAGTTCTCATGTTACAACACTGTGGCATACTCTTTACAGCCCAAACTGGCAAATCATGGTGATCCTTTGTTCACAAGCATGTGAAAGTTTCCTTTTTCTTTTAACCCTCTGCTGGGAAAAGAAGGGCAGGAGCCATGTGCCAGTTTTATGACTGACCCCATTTCAGCTTTTCCTCTCCCAACTACCTTTCCTTCCTTCCTTCCTTCTTTCCCCATCCTCTGACTGCCTTTTCCACTAGCACTCCCCTGGATGACCGCAGGCCAGCCACCCAGAGAATTACATTCTGTGTAGGAGCAGAAGAAGCGAAATACTTGACCCTACATTTTGGCGGCGAAGGAGGGAGAAGCAGCTGGAATGGCTGCCCAGGCGGAGCTTGCGGCCCGCCTGGCGCACACAGAGCAGAATTCGACCGAAACCTGGTCCCGATCCACGTGCAGGCAAATGCCGCCGCCGCCGGCGGAGGATGAAGAAAGCGCTTTTTTCTCCTCTTCTTCTTCCTCTTCCTCTGGGGCGGGCAGGGCATAATCGTGGTCGCTGCTGCTGCTGCTGCATGAGGAACTGCTGCTCCTCTCCCAAGACAACCGGGGCTCCGCGGGGGCCGAATAAGTCCTCGAGGGGGCCCGCGGCGGATCCTCAAAGAGGCTGGTGCTGATCCTCAGCCCCACTCTCCCGGCCCGGTCGCCGGCCAAATGGCTCAGGAGGCGGCCCAGGGCGCTCTGGTTGGCCAGCACGGCGCGCAGGTAGCTGGTCTCCCGCTCTAAGTCGCGCAGGCGGCGGCAAAGGCCTCGGTTGCGGTCGCGCAGGTGGCGGTTCTCGGCGGCCAGGCCTTGCAGGCGGGTCTCCAGGCCCAGCACGTACTGCTTCTTCTTCTGGCGGTTCAGGCGAGCCGCGGCCGCCGCCTTCAGCCGGTTGCTTCCCGGACGCCGGGACGACTTGGAGCCCGGCAAGGGAGGAGGAGGCGGCGACTCCGAGGCGGCGGTGGGGCTCAGGCTCCCGCTTCCTTCTTCATTCCGGTCCCACTCCGGGCGGGTTTCGGCCACCGCCGCTTCCAGCCAGTCGTCCAACTCGAGGCCCGGCGGGAACAGCAGCTCCTCGTCCGGCTCGTCGAGGAAACCGGCCTCCGCTGCTTCCTCATGGCGCGGCGCGGCCTCGTTGCCCGCCTCCCCGGGGCTGTCCCTGCCGGAGGGCGCCTCGCGAGGAAACGAGCAGGCCGCCGCCGGCACCCGAGGGCTCCCCTCACTCGACGAGGTGGCCAGCAGCTGGGCCAGGCTGTGGCGCATAATGGCGGCCGGCTAGGAAGCAGGGCCCCGCCCGGCCCGCCAACGCCGCTTCACCACCTGGTCTCCCTCAGTCCCTCGCCAGTCCGAGCCGTGTCGACAATGAGGGGAAGGGGAGCCGACGCTTCGCCAAGCTCACCTCAGGTCGCTCCCTTCAGGCCCAGAGAGAAAGCCGCGGAGTCGCTGAGGTAAAAGAGAGAGAAAAACCACCACCGCCACCCTGCGCCTTAATGGCGGCCAGGCCGGTCCCCCGCCCTTCGGCGCCTGCGCACTGGCGCGGAGGCGGTCGTTTGAGGGACCAAAATGGCGGGCGCCTTCTACCTGAACCGCCTTCCCTCACGCCCTCCCTCCCAATCTGGGCAGAAGCCAAAGCGGGTCTTCTTACATTCAAAGGCGTGGGCGCCTCAGCTCTGCTTTGTTTATCATTCTTTCCCCGGCCCAGCTCAGTCCGGTCATGAGGGGTGCAGGCATGATGGGAGTTGTAATTCAAGACAGCAGTTTTTTGGGGGGAAGGGGGCAGTGGCTGTCCAGATATTGCTGGACTCTAATTCCCATCATCCCTCAACCTGGGCGGGGGTGGGGGTGGTAGGTGTTCCCAGCCTTAACAACAGGCAAAGAGTCACAAACTGCCCAGTAGCAGAGTAGATTTAAAAAAGGCTAACCCGGTTAATGTAGTTAGAATTAAAAAGGAAATTGTTCAGTTTCAGGCATGTTGCCTTTTAAATACAACATATAATTCTTTTTAGCCAATGAAAAACAATATGCTGCAGTCTTGTAGACATTTGAAGGTTAAGATCTTCTGAACCCTCTTGGTATGACTTCAACCATTATTCCTTCAATTATGGAAGGAATTCTTAACTTTTCAGTAAGCATATTTATTAGGATTTCGTAATAATGTGCTGCACTTCTGATTGAAAGAGTGAGAGGTTTTAATAGAATTACAGCCCATCAGAGGCTCTTTGAATTCAAGGAATGTCTCGAATCTTCGTTGTAAAATGGTAGATTTAAATAAGTCCATCAGTTTTTATAATAAAATTAATCATCCATCCATTCATATAAAATGAGTTTTTAAAGAGTGCAATGTAAATTCTGGGATATTTTCTCACGCAGTTGGAATTCCAGTGTACTCAAAGTCAGCAATAGGGTTAGGATTGGATTACAGTTTTAGTTAAATTCATACTAGTACAGTACTTAATTTCAGTTCATAAGAGCATAAGAACATAAGAAGAGCGCTGCTGGATCAGGCTAAGGGCCCCTTTTGTCCAGCTTCCTGTCTCTTAACCGTGGCCCCACCAGATGCCTCTGGGAGCACACAACTAGAGACCTGTCTCCTGATACCCCTCCCCTGCATCTGGCATTTGGAGGTTCCTTCCTTTTAAACCTGTAGATTATACATCCCCATCATGGCTTGTCACTTGCGATGGACTTATCCTCCAGAAATCTGTCCAATCCCCTTTTCAAGGCATCTAGGTCAGATGCTATCACCCCATCTTGTGGCAAGGAGTTCCACAGATTAACTACACACTGGGTAAAGAAATATTTTCTTTTGTTTCTTCTCATTCTCCCAACACTCAACTGGAGTGGATGTCCCCTAGTTCTGGTATTGCATGAGACGGAAAAGAGCTTCCCTCTGTCCACTTTATTCACCCCCTGCATAATTTTATACATCTCAATCATGTTCTCCCCTGCACCCAGCACCTTTTCTTAAGACTAAAGAGCCCCAAACACTGTAGCCCCATGATGCGTGTTGCACATCTTTGGATCAGTTCTTCTGCTGACATAATTTTTCTTTCCAAATGTGACACCCGTTCCCCGGGTCGTGAAGTGATGTTAGGAGTGCCGTCTCGCCCTAGAGCCTCCGTGGGCACCCAGACCGCACCTAAGCCTTTTCCACCACGGATGCTGCACCAGGCAGTGGATACCTTTGATTTAGAAAAGGGTATGAAAGGGTTAAGCATAGCGACCCAGACTCCTCTAGTCTGGGCAGGGAGGGGAACGAAAGTTCGAGAAGAGGGAGCTGAGGGGGAGGTCAGTCGGAGGCAGGCGGGGAAAGAAGGCGAATGGGAATGGGTCTCAATCCAGGATCCCTGGTCAGGCAAGTGGGAACAGGTGTGTATGACCAGGCAAGAAGCGGAGGAGCGAAGGAGGAATGAGGCTCGGGTCCGTCCCTCTTACTGGGGAGAAAGAGAGACCCGTGAGTGGAGGCGAAAGCTAGCTGAGGAAAAGAAACGGGTAGAGAGAGAAAGGGAGGAAAAGACCCGATGGCATCTGGAGGAGTTGAGGAGACTGGGGTATCATCCGGACCCTGGGAAACCCTCGGGGCAACAGCAGCTTCACCCTGGGGATATGCAGGGCTCGAGGAGACGACCCCATTATTGACGATGGAGCGAGATGACTTCGATCCCGAAGAACCCTCCCAGGTTCAGGCCGGTCCATGGGCATCGAAGTCCAGTAACCCGTTTGACGAAGATTGGGTGCCCCTGTATGAGCCGTTACTTCAACAGGAGAAGTTTATCCCCAACCTACTTGACGTTTCTATCCCGTTACCACAGTTAAATAAAGAAGACAAGTTGTTTGGTTTAAATGCGTCTGAGGCTTTATTGGGGAAGGGGGAGGCGAAGAATAACGGACCCTCACACCAAATTTTGTAGAAAGTCCTTGATGAAGTGGCACAAACTCATACACACATAAACATACACACTCATTTACGTGTCAGGTTTTAATGATGTCATTTCAAGAAGTTCATTCTGTTAAAAAAAACCTTTAAAAAGCTAGAAAGAACTTCCTGCCCTACTTGAAATCATTTAAAAAAGTCATAATCAGGGTTTACCAATAGTAAGTACCACTCGTGTCATTAGGATTCCCTTCCAATTAAATGTGTGTGGGATTTCTGCCTTTATGTGCAAACCTCTTTTATAGCATTAACTTTCAATAAATCAGAGACAATTGATATTAAGAAGAATGAGTGCAATGGCATGCTGAAGCTTTCCATAACTAAGCAGTCGCTTGGTGATGCTGTGATTCATTGGCAAGCTCTGATCCTGACTGCAGCTTTGTGTGGTTAGAGAGCATTGATTTACTGTATATGTGACCACATTTGAAAACAATGATGTTGTCATGCTAACTACATTGCAAATGTTTGGCATCTGTTGGTCTTACCACATGTGGGAGCTGTAAGTTTTGATTGTTACTCTGTAAATGTTATTTGCAGGGGAAGCAATTTGATAGCCAGGGCAGGACCTTTCTGGATAAGTAAATGGACTACAGCCTGGAATTTTATAGATAAAACAGGCCCCCACAGTAGTAATAGGCAATCTGTTTTTGGCCTACAACTCTCACAGTTCCTGATCTTGCTGTATGGGGCTGAGAAGAGTTCTAGGCCAAATATTTTCTCTTTCTGCTACAAGGTATGATGGATCTAGGCCTTACATATTTTTTTCAAAAATCAAAAGGAATTGCTTCACTTGTTCCTGGAAGCCAATAAACAGTCAGTGTAACTCCTTCAGAACATATCTTTTTCTGTTTCACTGGACATTAATTAATTAATTAATTATGGTAATTAATACACTCATTCAATCATTCATTCATCATATTTATAGGCCACCTTTTTCCCAATAAGGTTACCTTGTTTTTGTTTTGATTTTCAGCCCGTTTTACTAGGAATACTTGCTATTTTGGTTGCTACAGGAGATATGCTAAACAATCTCAAGATGCCCTCAAAGAAATAAATATTGGAAATTACAACTTTTATTTTACAGTAATTTGTTTTAACTGTGCACTGTTTCTCTGAGCCGAGACATTAACCCAGGAAATCCTGTTGACAGAAGCACGGCTGCCTTTATAACACAGAACACAGGATGTGGGAATTGGTAGTTGCAATTAAAAATTACTGTATCTAGTAAACCATTTTATTTTCTTCTTTTGAAGGCTGTTAAACATTTCTGCTAACCCCAAAGCTCAGTAGATGGAAAAAACACATTACGCCATAAAATGGCGCAGTTTGGCATTTAATTCTTTCTCTTTAGTAAGCAACTCCATGCTGTGCTTCTTGTAAGCTTCGAAATGCATCTGGAGCTCTGTGTATGCTAGCTCTGCTCCGTGCATCCGCCGTTGGAGGTCCCGAACCCGGAGGTTACTGTCCACGGCAGCAGCCTCTGTTTCAAAGCGCAGCTCAGCAGCCTGTTTGGCTTTCTCCATATCTTCTGCCTTCTTCTCTAGCTGCACTATCTCCCACTGCCTTTCCTGCAGGGCTTTGCCTCGATCCATGGCCAGGTTGAGCAACTCTTCTTTCTCCTTGGTCAGCTTCTCAAGCTTGGCTTGCAGGCTGCCGTCTGCTTCTTTCAGCTGCTTCTGTGCTTCTTCCAGTTGCTCAGTAACATGGGAGCATTTTTCTTGCAGGATATCCAGTTGGCTTCTCAGTGCTTTTGTCTCCTCAGCGTGAGCTTTGGCTTGCTTGCTTTGGGCTTCCAGAAGCTCCTTCTCCCGCTCTTGAGCACGATGGCTATCTTGTTTGCAACGTTCCTTCAAGGCGACCATTTCCTTGGAAAGTTTCTTAAACTGTACCGCAAGCTGAGCCAGCTCTGCTTCTTTCTCTTTCAAAGGCCGACTGAAGAGACTTTGGTTCTCAAGACGCAGTTGCTGGTTCTCTTCTCTCAGCTGCATGTTCTGCCGCTTGTGCTCATCCTTGAAATGGATCATATCCTCATGGTTGGCCGCCAGGTCCATGAAGCGCTCTTCTAGCTGCTGGATACGCCGTGTCTGAGTCTCTAGTCTTAGAGCATCTGCCATCCTCATCTCCTCTAGCTCCACATTGAGCTGCTCCAGGGCCTTGCAACGCAAGAGATGATCATCTGCTCGCTTCTTCAGGATACAGATCAGTTGAGACTGCTCATGGATGCGTGAACGCAACAACGCCTTCTCCCCTTTTTCCCCTTCAGAGAGGCCCTGCAGCTTCTCCAGAGACTCAAAGGGTTCTCCCATAGTCCATTCTGTACTTCCTTCCCCATCTTTTGGGATTGGGTACGGAAAGGCCATCCCTGGATCCTTCTCATCCTGAGGCATATCAAGGATCTGTCCTTTCTTGATGCTCTCAACAAAGCTGATCACCTTTTGGTAACGTTCAAAAACTCCAAACTGCTCTACAGCTGATTCAGTGGCCAAAGTGACCGTTGACACGAATGTTCCAAGAATTCTGTGATATCACAAGCCAAGGAGGCGTGGACTTTCTACAACTAACCTACTCTCTTGAAACCATGCCACATCACTTTGGCACTAGATGTGAGAAATGTGGATATGTACTTGTCATTGAATTGATGCCAAACATCAATCTAGCCAAGAAGGGGGAAAACAAACAAACAGAATGTATTATTCATGCTTGCCAAATCAGTTCTGAGTTTGGATCAATTCTGAGTAACATTTCATTTGCAAAGTTGAGCATCTATTAATCTTCTTGCATTGGTGCTTTTAGAGACATTATTTGAAGGGAAGTAGTGATAGTCCTTTACCTCTTTTTTCTTTAACATATTCAAGGCCTAAATCTAATGATACTGTAATGTGGAATACATCTGAATAGGCACTTCAGAGCCATTTGTGCTGTAAAATACCTGCTCCTCCTCAGTTAATCCAGTTGCCTAAATTTCTGGACATTCCCTGAGAAGTGGGGTCAAGGTTCTTGGCGTGGGGGGGAGAGTTATGGTGAACACCTGTACTTCCAAATATACCACAACTCTACTGTGGATGGGTCATATTAAAATATTCAAGGGAGATCTCTCCTGATGTCTGAACCAACTTTATTGATTGCTAGGCAAAGCTACGCAACTGCTTCAGCTGGCAGAATATGCGATTCTGGCAAACCTTTGCTTCTGAGCAATCCCATTTGCAAAGAAAGCCTTTGATTCCCTTCTGGTGAAGAGAATCAAATCAGAAAACGAATCAAGTAAATCTGCAAACTGTAGGAGCTGTGAAGAACTCCCACTGTGACAATCAGATGTGCTTCAGCATATTAACTTCCTCTTCTAATTACATGCTATCTGTAGTGTAAAATATGGCCATGAGTTGTCCTAATAAATAGATACTGTATTCTAAAATGAGGTATTAATTTATTATTACAAGGATACTAAAGAAATGGCATCCAGTTTCAGATTAACTAATTCTGGAGTGCTGTTTCACTTTTTCTCCATGGATTTTGCTAAAAAATCCCCATAAAATTAATATGTATGTTTAGCAATAATGATGGATACACTCAGGCACAAACACACATGTCCCTAAAAGCCATAAAAAGTTTCCTTACCCGTTTTGTTCTTTGACTCCCTTGGTCTGACGCTGCTCTGGAGTTGCATCTCCATGGCAATAAGGACTAAAACAGACTCAAGCCATTCTCCTTCCAGGACACCAGCCTTTTGTCACTCTTGCTTGGGAACCTGAAACCAACTGGAAAGGGACCAAACAGGGAAGGAGGCCTCGTTCAAAGTTTGCCAACCTGACAAGGATTCCACCCAAGCTAAGGAATTGGCGCTCTATAACAGGTTAGTTTGCTGTAATGGCTTAAAATGGCCTTTTTCCTTTGCTCCTCACCACCGGGAAGACTAAAAATAAGAAGTGAAGCCGGTGCTGACAACTCCAGAAGGCTATTTACTGCCCCAGATAGTGCATGAGAGCTTTAAGGTAAATGGCTAACCATGCAGCCCTGTAGAGGTTTCCTTGGGAGTAAGTCCCATCGTGTTCAGTGGGTGTTTTTCATTCATGGACAGGAAGGCTTGGAAGTCATGTCTCACACAAGTAATTTGATCTGTTGCTTTGTGGGTAACAAGGTTGCTAATGTCTTACACAGTTTGATTGTGTTTCCAGCAATTTGTTTCAGCTTTTCCAATTACATCTGGAAAACGATGCACCATTCTGGGGAAGAGAATAGGGGGGAAACTTTTTTGCACAGGCAGGGACATCGGTGCTTTTAATCCAGTGGTGCAACTTATATAAGTCCCACCATTTAAAAAAAAGTCATTCTAAGCCACATCCATAAATTGTATTCGTTGCAAACAATGTGCTATTGATGCATGTTTTCCTCTAGCTCTGTATTGATGAACCTGTGTTGATTTGTGCAGGCAGATTGTAATTTGATGCTGCACCGAATTGATCAGACTTCACTGACTTTATATGATGCATTGTTGTTCTGGTTGCAGTAGAGTAATACAGCTCATCTCACCCACTAAAATACGTACATGTATATGATGTGTGTGAACTAACCATGACAGGATTTAAAATATAATGGCCAGCATCTTACAGGTGTTTGCATAACTTGCTATGACTAATTGATGAGGAGCCACAATGTATCTCAGTCACCTGCCTGATCTGGCAGTTGAGATGTCTCTCAGCATCTCATCAATTATTGCAAATTAGCCACATGAAGTTACAAAAACCTTACCCAAATACTAACAGGATTCTTGCCAATGTGTACAGCTCTTGCAAAATGTCCTTACATGAACCTATCACCTGCACAGCTTTAGTATGATTGATCTCTTGGTTTTATTTTTTTTGCAATTATATCCATTTCTCCTGCAAGAAATTAATTTGAATATAGTCTCCCCCTGATTTTTTAATCTTATAGATTCCAGTCTGGTCAGTTACGAATGAATGGATGAATGATGATCCCAAGGCATTTGTCTTGGAATATGTAATTATACAGAAAACACCAAATTGGTAATTTAAAGTTGATAAAACGTTATCCCTCCAGAGACACATTTCTTCAAAGCTACCACACGTGTGCAGTCCATTTGCAAATGCAGTTTGCAATAAACAAACTAATCAGAAACTTGAAATCTGTGGTGACTTTTCTGCAAGACTAAACAAATGTCTAATACTTCTTAATGAAGCTCTGTTTTTAAGTACAAAGTTTGCATATAAATTAATAATAGTCATAATGTATCATCAAGTCAATTCTAGCTGATGGCAACCCTTTTTAGACCCTTGTCTTAGGAAGTGGTTTTGTCCAGGAAAGTTCACATTAAAATATAGCAGTTAGTCTTTAAGGTGCCACAACAATTTTCTTTATTTTTTCTTTTTTTTCTATCCATAGTGTTATAAACAAAGGGATAATAGTGGGAGTAATCAGTGAAAACTTATGCTACTGTGTTTCCCCGAAAATAAGACAGGGTCTTATATTAATTTTTGCTCCAAAAAAACACATTAGGGCTTATTTTCAGGGGCTGTTTTATTTTTTTTAATGTAGAACAATCTACATTTATTCAATTACAATCATGTCATCTTCTTCTGGTTGCTGCATATAGAGCTTATATTTCGAGCATCCTAAAAAAATCATACTAGGGCTTAATTTAAGGTTAGCTCTTATTTTCAGGGAAACAGGGTAAATAGAGCTGTTTATTCTCCAAAGCAGCCACTTTCAACCTTTTTTGGCCACAGCCATAAATACGATATGAAAGAAATATAGGCCAAATCAAGAGTGTGTAAGTCCCATAAACAAATCTTATACAGTGGTGCCTTGCAAGACGAAAGTAATTCGTTCCGCGAGTAGCGCTGTCTTGCGAAAAGCGGTTTCCCATAGGAAACCTATGGGAAACTTCGCAAGATGAATGAATTATTTTCATCTTGCAAGGCATCGGTCTTGCGGAAAAAAAATCATCTTGTGAAGCACAGGCATAGAGAAAGCTGTCTTGCAAGTCACTAACACGATTGCAAAACGCTTTCATTTTGTGAGTGTTTTGTCCGGCGAGGCGTTCGTCTTGCGAGGCACCACTGTATATATAAAGTGGTGTGTGAAGAATTGTTTCCAGTATTCATGTGGCATCTTTGTCTTGATGAAAAGGACCCCTTTGGTTTTCCAGGTTCATCGCTTGTGGATAACTTCTAAATTCAGAAAGACTACTTGTGAATACTACACGTGAGAAAAACCATGGATAAGAATGAATCATCATGTGAATCCTTGCCTCTGTATATGATATTGAGCAAGCTGGTTGTGACCAGGGTGCTCATGGGAATGTACAGTACTTCAAACGTCCCCTTTTTAATCTGACTCCCCCTTTTCTGTGTGATCTGTTGCTGCTACCAGACCAGGGTGACCACAAAGGTATACCGTAGTTTATCTTAAGCAACTTTTATGTTGTCTTTAATTTTGAGCCTTTGACTCTTTCCCATGTTTAACAATGGACGAACGGCTAACATATGGACGAACATTTTATTTAGTGGCCCAGAAGACCAGCCGTAGCTCTTCTCTGAGACTTAACAGACCTCTGTCTGAATCCCAGCCTTCCTTCTCTTCTTCCACACCTCAATCAACCAGCGTGGTTGTTCTGTTCTTCCTCAACAACAACACCCACACTCCTAGCATCCTTTGACCCCATACTGGCTCATCTTGAGAGTAAAGAATTTTATTTTATGCAATCTTGTGCAATGCAGTCATAAATAATCCCCCCTCATTCAGTGTGTCTTGTTTACATGGGAGTCTGTACAGAACTAGAGTCTTACAATGCAATTATTTTTACTGCATGCTAAACAGCTTTTCCTCCTTTGCTTTTTTCCAGCTGTACTTGTCTACAGCCCAAATCCTTGTTCAAATAATTGTGTGCCTAAGTGGACAGTTGGGATGGCTTTGATGGCTGGTTCCACTGCTGATAAAATAAAGCGATGGGAAAACTTTCAGCAGGGCAGTAGCATCTCACTTTATTATCACCCTATTCCGTTTTAATGCAAGGGTGAGCCACTGTGGGCCACAGTGACTACAATTCCCATAATCTCTCATCATTGACTATGATGGCTGGGGCTGATGGAAACCAGAAGCACAAAACATCCAGCAGTCCTGCCTCTGCAATGGCCCCTCCACTCCCCCATCTTCCCAAATTGAGTGAAGTGTTCTATCATTAAAATGTAATCACCTTCAACTCAGTACACTTCAACACTGCTCCACTGGATCGGAGCTCTCCTACAGGAGTTTCTAAGTGACATGGAGAAGGGCCAATGCAATCATCTGAATATGCTTTCCCTGTCAATGAGGGGAGAAGGGAGTAACAGGGCAAGAAGCCCATGCTTAGCTCCCTCTGCAGAGTCAAAACTGAATTCCTGAGCAGGGCTTAAATGTGGTGAGGGCTCCAAAGCTGGGAACATTCAAGAGAACATTGGACAACCATCTATCAGACCTACTTTGATTTGGATACCTGCACTGAGCAGGCGGCGGGACATAATGGCCTTATAGGGCTCTTTCTAACCCCATTATTCTATGATTCTATGTGTTGGGCCATAGTGATGAAAACAAGACACAGAAATGGCTGGTTCTAGTTGCAGCTATTGTCTCTGCTATAGTGCCTAACCCCAGCCATGTACTGCTATAAACTCTCCCACGGTGTCTGCTCATGTGTAGAATTCCACAGGTTTGCATTGATCATGGATTTTCCCAATCCCAAAGTATCAGAAATCTTTAAGAAGACATCGATACACACATCAATGATTTTCAGCTTCAAGTACACATAATTAGAGCTACGGAATAATGTTGTGTTGCCAATATACTCTGGTTTCTCTACAGATCGTATAAATCTTTGGCTGTGTTGCCAAGCATATTGTATGGGGACTGAAGGGGTAGTGGAAAAGTGAAGGAAGCTTAGCTTATTTAGTGAAATCATTTTCCTCTTTAATGTATTATCCCAGGGAGCCACACCAAGTCACTGAACATAATATTTTAAAATATATTTTATTTTAAGTTTTTTACTTGAATCTTTTGAGAAAGACTAAGGTGCTTAAATTAAACACAGTATCTATGAGGAGGAGAAAGTTAATGTGCCTTATTAAAGAGAACAGTGTTCACTATAAAATTGTATTACAGATACCCTCGCTGTTGAAATTACACAGGAAGAAATTTGCCCCTTAAAAGATCATCTCTGTATAGCTGTTTGGTAATTCTCTCCACTCAAAAAACACCCACAAGCAATAAAATCTGGAAGTGACCAATTGCAGTGATCCTATTTTGCCATTTTGACTATTGTCAGCATCCTGAGGGGCAGAGTGTCTTCCACCCACGTGTTTGGAGAATTGATCATCCTCTCCCACAAGTTAATTTCATCACACGTAGAGTCCATCCAGTCTACTGGTGTACCGTAGCTTTTACCTAAGAAAGTGTTTAAAGAAATAAAATGAATACCTTTTATTTTTTATGGTAGTAACTGCAAAGTACAGTAAAATCTCCTTTAAAGCAATTTGAGTGTATGTTATTCATTGCATGTCTTTAGAATAAGCATTCCATCTCTGTGTGTCTGTTATTGTTTATTTATTTAGCTTGTATACCACACTAATTAGGGATGTGGTGGCATTGCGGGTTAAACCACAGAAGCCTCTGTGCTGTGACGGGTGCTCACTCCGTCACATGGATTCGATCATATAGCTGAAGATCTACAGACCTTACAGCACAAAGGCTTCTGCGGTTTAACCCGCAGTGCCACCACGTGCCTCCGTTGGAAGATAACACAAGCTTAATTTGCAAGTCTGATTGTCAAGAGATTATCTCTGATGAATTCCCACTGCAGGTGGGAAAATGGGGCTGGTCTAAGAAAATATTCATTTCAATTAATGGTTAAAATCCTGATTCAGAAGTTATTCCTGAGTCAGGGAGAGATTTTCAGTACTGTAAAGACTTCTTCCTTCGGTCCTGTGGGCTGTTCAATGTCCAAGTAATCAGTCTTATTGTGTGGAAACTGTGGGAGCCAGGGGACACAAGTGGGAAATTTTTAATTACTGAAAATCACCACTACCAGATGATATTGCTGTCAAGGAAGAGATTTTTGGTACATAAAAACTTCCTGCAGTTGTCACGGTTTCCACATGATGGAATGGATTACTAATGAGACAAGCAAGCCATCGTTCAAATGGAGGGAGTCTGTGATTTTTCCCCTCTGCCAGTCACGTCTTCAACATTCCATAAGTGTCCTTCATGCAACAGGATTTTGGCCAAAGTTTTGTTCAACCCAGTCTCTCTGTGTGCAAGTCTCAATTCAATCAGGAAATAACGTACAGTTTATATTACTTCAGCTTCCTGCTTTTGTTGTCCTCATTTGGCTCCATTGTTACAATAAACAAATCCACCACCACCCCCAACTGCTCCTGGAAATACCACTCAATTAAAAAAAACATAGTAAGCCATGTGTAAACCATATTTTGCATTTCTATATATTCCCTTTAGCTGTGCAAAGTTTTTTTTAAAAAAATTAGAGTTCTTATTTGAAATTCGTAACGATTTCTTTATTGTTTCTGAACTAAGGTAGGTGGACTAGGATGGTAGCGAAAATCCACTCAGCAAAAAAATACCTGTTCCAAGTCCTATCCTGAGTCCTCCCAGGAAGTGATTGGCCAGTTTGTTGTGATCCCACACAGTGAGTTCTACACACGCTTCTTTCAAATCTTCAGGCCTGAAGCCATCATAGACCATAGTGTGGTTGAATATCGGATTTGTGGTCTTTGCTACAGCTCTTGTTTTCTGACGGCTTTTTCTACTTGTATCTGGAAGAATGGTACTTAAGACAAAAAGGAAGAAAAATTATTGTGAAAATATCTTTGTATGTCATAGTTTGCAACAGCACAATGCAACGAAGCTCTTAAGTGTTAATCTTACTATCATTTTTGGTGAAAGTAAGGTGAGAAATTCTCAGGTCACAATGAGCCATGATTTATTATGGTTTGTTGCTTAAGCCATGATTTGCCTAGCAGGTCTAAACAATCTGGGTTGTGTTCCTCTGTTGTGTTTCTCTCCCACCTGGCTTTTCAGCTTCTGCTTCAGGATGGGCAGCGGAAGAAACAAAACAGAGGCAAACCACAGTTATAAACTCAGAAATCATGACAAGCAGGTTTGAACAAATCAGAGTTCATTAGCTGAAAACAAATCATGGATTTCAGCTTTGGTTTCTGGCTGGTGAACCAACCATGGCTTGGTAGCAGAAATGGGTTTGCACATCATAAACCAATATTCAGTAAAATACTCCATGGCTTATAATGACCTACAAACACAGTCACTTTTTCTGTGTCAAATAAACACGCAGCACATAGCTGGAAGGCTGCAACACACACCTGAGACATTCCTCCCTCTCATTATTGTGTAAGGCTTGTGCTCCGTTCCTTACGGTACAGGACAGCTTGAAGACTTGACAACATTAAGCAAAAAAAAAAAAAATGTAATCCCACAAGCACCAGCTTTCCGAGGCCACTAGAACTGAGAATCAGGGGCACTCAACAAGAACAGAACTTGGGGAACAGATCTTTGGGCTACAACCCTCAGCATCTTCTAGCCACCACTGCCAGTGGCTCTGTGAAAAAACTCAACCAAATAAGTTTTCAAAGCTCTGACAATGGCTGTGGACCGTAATATTTCCCAGTTTGAACATCTGAAGTCCTTAAGATGAGTGGGCACATATACTAATCAGTTAGATTCAGCTTTAGATACACATGATCCCAATCAACAAATACGCAAATAATACCTGTCAGGTGCATCACTAGTTGGCTTCGTGAAACAAGACCAGTGGAATAATAAAGTGTTTTTATTTATTTATTTTATTTCAATGTATTTATTTTCATGCATTACTCATTGGAGCTGCACAAAACAACTGTACATAAACTTTAAATATAATTTAAAGTAAATAATTAACCATAATTTGCATATGAGTTTATCATGAACTATTCTAATTGGATGTGAAGGCACATCCAGCCAGAAAGATACCTCCAGATGTTGCATAGGTACAATTTAAGTATTAAAGGATTTAGAACACACAAACACAGAGAGGCCATGTTTCACCTGCAAGATCAGTTCTCCGCTCTTACCATTTAACGAAGGAGTTGAGCTTGTTGCCTCTGAGAATTGGAAGGTCGTTGCATTCTTTCACCCAGATATGGACTTCTCCAGTGGCCGGAGTCTTTTTACCTTTGAAAAAGATTCCCCACCCATTCCCCATTAGGGGTATAGCATGGATGTTCTGTTCAAACATATATTGCAGTTCCTTTTCTGTTTTATCATCCACTGTCAGTGGCTCTGTGAAAAAACTCAACCAAATAAGTTTTCAAAGCTCTGACAATGACTGTGGACTGTAATATTTCCCAGTTTGAACATCTGAAGTCCTTAAGATGAGTGCGCACATATGCTAATCAGTTAGATTCAGCTTTAGATACACATGATCCCAATCAACAAATATGCAAATAATACCTGTCAGGTGCATCACTAGTTGGCTTCGTGAAACAAGACCAGTGGAATAATAAAGTGTTTTTATTTATTTATTTTATTTCAATGTATTTATTTTCATGCATTACTCATTATTTGTTTGTTTGTTTGTTTGTTTTATTTCAATGTATTTATCTGCATGCGTTACTCAAAGGAGCTGCACAAAACAACTGTACATAAACTTTAAATATAATTTAAAGTAAATAATTGACCGTAATTTTCAGTTTTCCGCTCTTACCATTTAACAAAGGAGTTGAGCTTGTTGCCTCTGAGAATTGGAAGGTCGTTGCATTCTTTCACCCAGATATGGACTTCTCCAGTGGCCGGAGTCTTTTTACCTTTGAAAAAGATTCCCCACCCATTCCCCATTAGGGGTATAGCATGGATGTTCTGTTCAAACATATATTGCAGTTCCTTTCCTGTTTTACCATCAATAAGATGTATGGTCCTAGCTAGATAGCTCAGTGGTTCGTGTTACATTGAAGCATTAGTTCCCATAGGAACTAATGCAAAGCTGGTTAATACGTACTCTACCACTAGGGGGATAATTTTTTTTAACCTAAGATGACCTAAGGTTAAAAAAAAGAGCAGGAAAGGTTTTTTTCCTGTTCTTATCTTGGATTTCTGTTCTCAAGTAGAAGCAAAATTTAGCAAATGGAGCTGTTCTTAAGTTGGATTGTTCTTAAGTAGGAACGTTCTTAAGTAGAGACCCCACTGTATGGTCCTAGCTAGATAGCTCAGTGGTTCATGTTATCTGGCTGCAGAACCAGAGGTAAGGAGTTCAATCAGAAAGAAGGCAGGAGGATCAGCAACAAAAACACAGGGTAGTTGAAAATGGAGGAGGCTGATATCGGCATCTTTCTAAATTTCTGATAACGTGGCAAGGCAATTGCACAATAAAAGTCTTGCCTTGAAGCACTCAGAATGGTGGCCTTTAATGTGAATATCCCATTTTCTTCACTAGCCACAAACAGAAGGCTGCCTAGTTATCACAGCCCTATCTAAGGACCACGGCACTATCTTCAAAGGTCATTATCGCATCTGACAGTAAAGTGTACCATGACTGAACTTTCTAATATCAGCTGCCCCCACTAGCTGGTACATGATAGAACTGCAGCAGTTAAATGGTATTCATGATTCAGTTTTGTGGATTTTCTCAAGAATGAGCTGGCAAGTTTGGAAACAAACCAACTTGGGGGATGTTCTAACACAATCTTGGCTCAGCCTGACAAGCATCGGCAACTTTTCGTGGTAATTTGGGCACTTGTATCAACTCCTCAGAAGACCTGTAGAAGCTTCTGTTCCTCATTTTCAAGAAACCATGACCTAGGCCGTTTCATCTGAATCTGGAATACTATAATTTGCCTACCAGCCACAACAGAAAGCCCCAGCTTGGTCTTGATGGTTGTACGGTCAAACCTGTTTCTGTGAATCACAGCCTGCCATAACTGAACATGCCACAAACCAGGAAAAGAAATTTCTAATCTCTACAGGCAAAGTAAAGAAGGAGGAAGCCCACGAGCTTAAACTGTCTGAACTTGTGTTAAGCCATGAGACTTCATTCATTCATTCATTCATTCATTCTTTCTTTCTTTCTTTCTTTCTTTCTTTCTTTCTTTCTTTCTTTCTTTCTTTCTTTCTTACTAAGGCAGAGATTAAATCAGAGTGGCTGAGTAGAACACCATATAAGACCAATTGAATAGATGGGTAACAGGAATACTTACCCCCAGTAGGCTGTGGGACATATTGGAGAGCTATCTTTATTTCCCCTCTGTTCTCTGCTTCAAGAGAAGCCAGCGGAGTCTAAACAAGTCATTAAAAAAATTACTGACTATGAGAAGGCTAATGCATGCAACTATTGATTGTATATTTCCACACACATCATGCCAGGAAAAAGCACAGGCAACGGATATTAATACCGTTTCACTAAAGAAATAATAACATATTTCAGATAAAAGCTGTACTATTAACACACCTACCTATGCCCTCCCATTCCAAAATAATCACCATTAAAGTGAATGGCTACTATAGAATAGAAGCATTTGAAATTTGACAAATTATATTTTGATGGATTGATTGATTGACTACCATTATGAAGCTGCCTTTCTCTCAATGGGGGAACTCAAGGCAGCTCACAACATTAAAACAAGTAGAATAAAATACAATAAATTATACAATAAAAATGGAATTGAACACCATCTCAAGAAAACTATTTCTACCAGTGAGAAAGAAAAGGAGGCACGGTTCCCAAGAAAGCATCCACCAATTTTAAGAATTGTAAGGACTTAAACTGATATCCTCTTTTTATAAAAGAAAAATACTAATATCTGATTGACATTCAGCCCCCTTTTAAAGCATTTTTTGATGGAACAAATATCGGCACCTGGGTGCACATTCCCGACGGTGAATTACCAATTCTTCACCCTGGGCAATGTTACTCATTTTAGTTCCAACCACTTAAGGTATGGAAGCAAAGTTCATTAGTATAGGGATCATTTTTACTGTTCAAGGTATGACTCAGGGTTGGTGATCATCTTCTTACAGTCCTTTAGGAAGAGAGACAGGAGGAGAATGGAACTCGGTCCCTTCTAAAAGGGCATCTTATCCAGCCAAATCCATTCACTTACTCTTGGTTTAAGGGGGTACCAGATCATCTGTTTGTTCTGCTTGTCATTCCAGTCCCAGCTTCCCAGGTCAAGCTCCACTTCGCCCAAGAAACTGTTGCGCCCGAAAGTGTCGTTGTGCCAGACAGAAATATTCAGTCTCTGCGTTGCCAAGAGCTCCTTGTCAACTTTGTACTTAATGGCGGGAGTTGGGAGGAAAAAAGACAAATTAGCATTTAAGGACATTACCTACAATGCAAACATACAATCAGCTTTAAAGAAGGTTGTAAGTGTCCTTTGCTTCCCAAAGAGATGGTGAGCACCCTAAGTTACAAAAGCTGTGTTCCTCCTGCTGGCTCCAACAGAGCAGGGAGGCAAGGGGATTGGATTCGCTTTACCAGCTTCATTGCAGAACAATGAATTTCTACAATGTTTATCAAACTACAGTAGGACCCCCCCCATCTCTGCTGGAATCAGTAATGCTTTGTCCTTCAGTAAACCCTGAATTTCCCCCAAGTCTCCCAATAATTCTGCACCCTTATGTGTCCACTCAGCACTGTTTTAGTTGCATAGGTGAAGGTTAGGTAAAGGTTCCCCTTGACATTTGGTCCAGTCGTGTCCGACTCTAGCCAGCATTTGTCCGAAGACAGTTTCCGTGGTCACGTGGCCAGCGCGACTAGACACAGAACGCCGTGACCTTCCCACTGAAGTGGTGCCTATTTATCTACGTGCATTTGTATATGCTTTTGAACTGCTAGGTTGGCAGGAGCTGGGACAAACGATGGGAGCTCCCTCTGTTGTGTGGATTCGATCTTAGGACTGCTGGTCTTCCAACTTTGCAGGCTTCTGCGGTTTAACCCGCAGCGCCACCACATTCCTTACTTTGGTTGCATAGGCAACGTCCTATCCCAAGCTTTGAAAGCAGAGTCAATAGAGCAAATTACCCTCAAGATCTCATTAAAGACAGGATTCAATGTTTTCTTCTTCACAGATGTTTTTCTTTTGCCCAGTTTGTATTTCTCCGGTAACAAGTAACTCTTCACATACCTAAGGAAGGGAGGGAGGGATGGGACGGAGAAAGAAAGAAAAGGTTTAACTATCAACCTGGTAAGCTCAAGAATAAACCAGAGATCTTTACCTTTATTGGGACCTGAAATAGAATTTTGCTTCATAGAGAAACAGGACTTTGGGGACAAAATCCTATTGAACTTCCACCCAGCAGGAAGTGTCGCCAGCAGAGGGTAATTCCAAAAGGTTTCTAGCCAGCATTTGTTACACTGATACATTGGATTCCCACTTTTGAAATGTAACTCTATAACGCCTTCATTGCAAAAGCATAACTGGCAACCTTTTGGGCCTAAAAGAGGACCAAGAAGTGCAAAAATTCCAAGCCATGCTGCAAAAGAGGCTTGAGACTGTCGCCTCGAGAGGACCAACGTCAACTCCAACAGACATTTGCCACACATGTTTGGACTCTGGTGTACAATTTTTCTCTACTGTCTACAAAGGGGTTGTGCTCAGCCTGAAGATGTGGAATTTTCTCCACGAAAGCTTGCAAATTTGTTTGATTTTCCAGTGATCCAACAAAAGCAACACATCCTCTTACATTTTTCGTAATGTGCTTTTAATTGTAATGTATTGCACTGTATTCTTGTTTCCACTGCATTTTATGGTATTTTCTTCTGCATTTTTAATTGATTGCTGTCGTTTTATATTGTTATTTTATTGTTTGGTCTTTAAACCACCCAGAGTGGCCTTGGCTGCCAGATAGGTGGTATGTATGTATGTCTGTTAAATAAACAAATGAAAAAATAAACAATGGTTGTTGTGGTTTTTTGGGGCTCTTTGGCTGTGTTTTGAAGGTTGTTCTTCCTAACGTTTTGCCAGTCTTTGTGGCCGGCATCTTCAGAGGACAGCACTCTGTGCTCCGGTGTAATTTGCTTGGGAGTGTAGTATTTATGGCTGTGAGATAGGCTTTTGTCCTTTTCAGGAGATGGGTGATTATGGTGAGCAATGTGTTTTAGGAAGAACAACCTTCAGAACATGGCCAAAGAGACTGAAAAGCCCACAACAACCATTAGATTTCGGCCGTGAAAGCCTTCGCAAAAACAAACAATATTGGGGAGCCACACGGTCTTTTCCTCCTTCCTTCTGGATTATATAAGATTGCAAAAGAAAGGTCAGGTATTCATTAGGCTAATTGTAATACTTTACTTCCAAACTCTGAGGAAACTACTACACTACTGGGTGACTTCTTGGTCAATCTGGAGAGCCATCACCAAAACTTAGCCCTCATCAGAACTGTAACTAAGGTGGGTTGACCAAGCCTTTTGCTGAAGGCACCAAAATTTAGAGACCACAATAATTTGCAGCTGGGAGAGTGCCAGTTGCCTCCAGCAGCTCCTCCTTAGACAGAAGGGAACACAAAACAGGCAGAATCAAAATAGCTGTCATGTATCCACTTGAAGGCTTTCTTCATTGTTCCCCTATTGATTCCCACCTATTCCAATTTATTGTGTCACCCAAGTTCAACCAAGAGCACTTTGTAGTCCCAGGAGGCAAAATGGCTAATTAGGGCTCTGGCCTGGATGCAATATTATGAGACGTGTGTTCTGAAAGGTCACTTCCACTTTGTGAACAGAACAACACAGCTGTTTTGGAACAGAAGTCTGAGGCACCTCCCCGCTACACTTACGGATCTGAGCGCTGCTTCTTCACATCTGCAACGGCCAAGTCCTTCCCCTGGGCAATAAAAATGTGGAGCTCTTTCAGCTGCTCCACGTAATCAATGGCAAACTGGATATTTCCCTTAACATCTATGTTGCCAAAATCTCCACTGTAGACGCTCATCACGCTAGTGCTCACCTATGGATGAGACCAAAAAGAAAGAAAGAGATTGAGAGAGAACATAAAATCTTTCTTGCTTCCTGAGAACTTCTTTTAAAGATTGAACATAGACTTCAGAAACAAAAATTCACCTTAAATTAAATTACTCATGCTTCTTTTCAAACCCCAGGAGGAAATCATTAACAGGATCACATGCAAGGAATGATTTCACGGAGTGGATTGAAAAGCAATATTTCCATCAATTAGCTCTCGATCTCTCAAGAGACCTACTAACAGGCTTCTGTACCAATGGCCGTTGGCCTGACAAGGGGTTTCACGTTGCCACTTTGGACTGATGTGTGGCATTCCACCCACACACTTCACTTGGATTTCCCCAGGGCTTCCCCATGTACTTGTTGTTTGTATACAAAAACTTGGAAATTTGTCCAGAAACTGACTGGTATCATTTTGGAACCAAATGACTGGAATCCATCATTAGTACACTAGGACCCCAGTACCCATGGGATCGGTATCCATGGTTTCACTTATCCAAGGTCTGAAAATATTTAAAATATTAAAGAGAAAAACTCGGAAATAGGTATTTTAACTATGTAATTACCAGACCTGTCCACTAGAGGGAACCAGAAACAATGCAGTATATAGGGATTGCTATTATCTGGGGGTTTTGACATTTGCAGTGGGAGGAACTGATTCCCCGTAGATACCATGGGCCTATTGTATTACATTTAGCATTTTCCGTATACCTACTGCTTTACCGTGTCACCTCAATTGTCTTCAAACAATGCTATGAAAGATGTCACTATTGGCTCAAATTTACAGATTTTTATAAAAAGCAGTATGGAATCACAGCAGCTCACGTTCACACCTGCCTAGCAGGTTCATGCATGAGAAAGGAGTTAAACTCTGCTCTGTAAATATCAGCTGCTGGTTCTTATGGATGGATGGCATGAAGCCTGGACAAGACAGGAACTCTATACCAGAACAGAGGTATTCTTCTAATCTTATTTTTATAGGACACCCAGACTCTGGAGATCGAGAAAGAGCTAGTTTTGTGAATTATGGCACCCTGCAATAAACCATGGTTTCGAATACTGCTGTCAATCACAAGGTATGATTTTTTATTCTAGATAGCTATCAAAGGAAAGTTAAGCCCAGTGTTGACACTGTGTCTGTATTAAGCAAAAAGAGAGAGCTCTGGGTATTATCAAACAATAATATTACATGGTTGTTGTGGGGGTTTTTTTGGGCTCTGGCCATGTTCTGAAGGTTGTTCTTCCTAATGTTTCACCAGTTTCTGTGGCCGGCATCTTCAGAGGACAGGAGTCAAAACTCTGTCTGCACTCTGGTACAGTTTGTTTGGATAGCTGAGTACAGTATTTATAGCTGTGGGATCAGCTTTTGTCCTTTTCAGGAGATGGGTGATTATGGTGATCAGAGTGTTTTTGTTGTGGTTGCATTGTTGTGATAAGGGGGAGAGATGATCTGTCACTGTGATTGATGGGTATCGTTAACTGATCTTTTGTGTGCAGTGATCATTGGTCCTTGTGGCTGGGTAGAGTTTGTTGACCTTTTGCAGGCTGTATTTTTCAGTGCTGGGAGCCAGGCCTTGTTGAGTTTTAAACTTTCTTCTTTTTTGTTGAAGCTCTGCTGGTGTTTATGGATTTCAATGGCTTCCCTGTGCAGTCTAACGTAATGATTGCTGGTGTTGGCCACTGCACCAGAGCACAGACAAGAATTCTGACTCTGTCCTCCTTCTGCAGTTTAGCCCACAGTGCCACCACGTCCCTCTGGTTTTACAAGGATCATGGCAGTAATTAGCCTTGCTGGGATGCCATACTGCTGTTATTTCATATAGGCTGAAATCCTTTTGCATAGCGAAGTCTCAAAAGTTAAGAAACCACCCTTGACATAGTCTGTTGGTATTGAGTCACATACACATAACATATAATGTGTATGAAGGTTTCTCAACTTGAGGCACATCACCTCCAAAAGTTACTACACTGTTTGCATTGCACCCCAGCGTTAATTATGCCACAGGATTTGGGCCATAGAAACTAAAACTTGGTTTTGCAAATTTGATGGCAGGGGGCGTTCAACTCCATGAGATGAAAAAAGAAGGAGCTTAACGTTATTTCTAAAACATGACATTTAGCATTTGCTGCTGGAAGGGTGCCAGTTGCCTCCAGCAGCTCCTCCCTAGACAGAAGAAAACATGAAATTGGGGGGGGGGCTTAGCATGGAATCAATAATCACTGCCTTGTAATCACATCCAGGTTTGTCACATATTCATGTTGAGAGTAGCATCAGTAAATTTAACATGTTACTTCCGAGCTTTGCTCATTCATTAAGGGGCCCAAGATTGGTTGCAACTTCTGGTTTAGAATACCTGCAGTGGAAAAGGCAGGCACATCATTTTACAGAAAACAATGCTTAGGAAATATACTCAGAAATACGTGGTGCCCTAAAAATTCAGCAGAATAGAAAGGGTCAAATGAGATGTTAATTGAGACAGGAAAGGAGTAAGGTGCTTTAAAATACACGTGTATGCTGAAGTTTATTTACAGACATTTATAAATGGCACCATGCATCTAAATATCAAACAGAAGCTCTGTTACAAAGGTCTGCAGGGGTTTACAAGCACACGACTATTAGCAAAAGCAGCGTGATTAACTGAAGCTTTCATTTACATACAGAAGACAAGGAGGCCAAGCCAGAAGAGCCGCTAAGGTTGGTTAGGGAACTGGGGCTCTTCTTAATCCTGCCAAGTGGATAACTCTTGTCTGATGCTGAATCTGTCTCTCTGTCATCGCTCTACAAGATATTTCACAAACAGAAAAATAAAAGGCTGTGCAGGGGTTCAAAAAAACAATGATAAAGTTTGCCATGCAGCACAGCTAATGAAAACCTTTAGTAGCATGCATAGTTTACATGCGCATGTTTAGCTGTACTTAAAAAGGAGAGACACAAAGAAATTAAGTGATAAATGCTGAAGTTGCTTGTTTGGTTTTATGTTATTGGTTCTTGAAATAAGCCTCATCTTTTCAGTTCCACCTGAAACACTTCCGTTTCACCAAATATTTCAGGCAACAGACTAATAAATGACATTTTCAAAACACTGCCCAGTATCCTGTTGAATAGCCCTGCCTGCCCAATGGCAATGTTACTGGCAATAGTAGATTGCCAATAATTGAATCATTCCTTTTCAAGGTACACATGAATTCATTAACATTAGGCACAAGTTGAGGAGCCTAACACTGGATAAAGGAACTCTTTAGTAGGCAACAACCTGCCACCACTGGTAATTTAACTCCCACTCTGCAGGCGGAGGTCTACAACAGGATTAGAGATGGAAATGAACCATGACTCAGAGGTTTAGTGTGGTGCCTGCGCAGGTGTTCCATGGCACATACTTCGCTCCCCCACCTCCTCTGGGCGGTCACCCACTCAGGAACAGATTTCCCTCTGCCTCCTCAGGCAGGGCAAGGAAGCCCATGTTGCTGCAAGTGAGTGAAGGATTGCCTGAAGGAGGTGGAGGAGGAAAGCATGCCCCTAAAGGTGAGCGGCTGATCCTCCAGAGGAGGTGGGGAAAGGAAGCAGGCAGTGCCAACGGAACACCTGTATGTGTGACACACCAAACCAGGCCGAACCATTGAACCACAGTTTATGCCCGTCTCTAAAGAGGATACTAGTCCATGTGTTCTTTTTTGGTCACCGTCTGGGCCTACATAAATAAATTTAGTTGCTGGTATTTAAAAAAGGAATCTATATCACAAAGCTGTCATTGAAAAATGAAAAAAAAAAAAGTCCAGATTTATTTTGTGTTTTTTTCTCTCTCTCTAAATCCAACTGTTAGCCCCAGTTAAGGTAGACTCACTGACACAGTGCTAGGCCAGCACTTCTATAGATCCCTTTCATTCAATTAATGTACTCTCTTTTGGAATAGCCATTAGAGTGAGACTACAGCTTTTGGGAAGCCAAAAGAACAGCTGTCAGTTATTTACAAACCCTGTGTTATAAACTCTTTATTTCAACATTCCAGGTCAGCTAGAAGCCAGTAAGCATTAACTTAGCCATGCAAAGTCTATTTGTGCTGGTCAGGTGTGTAAACTGCAGCTGGGGTTCATTTGCTCAGGGCAGCTAGATGGGCGCAAACCTGATGCAATGAACTTTATGGAACAAGAACAAAGTTACTGGTACGTTAAATTTTAGGGACATCTTATCTACCTACTATGTTCAATCCAGCAACTGGCTAAAATGTCCTGAAAGGTCCTAAAGCTTTTCTAGAGATAATTTTGAAAAAAAAAAATCTGCCTTAATTCAGTGGCCAAATTCACTGACATAGGATCAAAGAACTTACATGCTCAATCCAGCAACTGGCTAAAATGTCCTGATAGGTTTTCTAGAGATACTGTGGTGCCTCGCTTAACGGGCGCCCCTTTTAACAACGAAACCGCATAGCAACAAAGATTTTGCGATCGCTTTTGTGATTGTATTGCGATGTTCCCTATGGGGAAAAATTGCTTTGCTGTATCTGGGACCAACAACTGGATTTAGCCCAGTCTATTTTGCATACAAAATAGAGAATGGTTTTCTAATACAATAGGACCCCCTATCCGCAGGACCTTGTTTTCGCGCCAATTCCTCGCTTACCGGGCAGTGAAAATGGCGGCCATATGGAGGATTTTCGCTTTAAGGTGAGTTTTAAGGCCATAGGAAGGCACTGAAGGAGTTTTAATGCATTCCTATGGGCTTTTTAAAATCGCATAGCGACGAAATCGCTTTGCAGCGATTTTTGCTGCACCGATTATCGTTGCTATGTGAGGCACCACTGTAATTTTGAAAAAATCTGCCTCGATTCAGTAGCCAAATTCACTGACAAAGAGTAGAGTAAAATCAAAGGAACTTACATATGTTAACTTAACAAACCCTATTCATCCAATGGGTCTGCTGTATCTGGGACCAACAACTGGATTTAGCCCAGTCTATTTTGCCTCAGAGAATGGTTTTCTAATACAATAGGACCCCCTATCCACAGGACCTGTACCTGCTTATTCATCCGCAGGACCTGTATCTGCTGATTAATATCGCATTGCAACATTTTCGTTCAACAGCAATTTTGCGGAATGAATTAACGTCGCAATGCGAGGCACCACTGTATTTTTATTTTAATATTTTCAGACTGTCTGAAAATATTAAAATAATAATACAGTGGTGCCTCGCATTGTGACATTAATTCATTCCACAAAAATTGCTGTTGAACAAAAACGTCGCAATGCAATAATAAAAAGCCCATAGAAACACATTAAAACCTGATTAATGCGTTCCTATGGGCTTAAAACTCACAGTTCAGCAAAGATCCTCTATAGCGCGGCCATTTTCGGTGGTTGTAGAGCGAGGAATCCGTCCCAGAAAACAGCAAGCGGCCATTTTATTTACCCGGCGGCCATTTTGAAACCGCTGATCAGTTGTTTTAAAATCGTCGCTTTATGATGCTCGGTTCCCGAAGCAGGGAACCGATCATCACAAAGGGAAATTCTCCCATAGGGAACATCGTTTTGCGATCGCTTTTGTGATCGCAAAAAATGCGTCGCAAAGCGATTTCGTTGCAAAATGGAGTGCTCGCTAAGCGAGGCACCACTGTACTGGAAATATATATTTCTAAAGATGAAGTTACCAAAACTGGTCACTAGAAGGAGCCATGGTCACATGCTCAAGCATGTGCTCCCTTATTCTCTCCCATTTTTCCAACAATCAAGCTGGAGATACTAGAGGCATGCTTTAATATTTTTTTTAACAAAAATGTGTTTGTCGGGGATTTTTTTATTCAAATGTTCTACCGGTGGCCAATACTGATGCTGCTGGGAGTTAAATACAGAGTTTCCATGATGTTAGATAGCCGGGAAGTTATTTACAAGCTCTGTTGGTGACCTTTGCTACTAACAATTCTCAACACCATAGCTGCTGCACAGGCCTTCTTAACATCCCCAGCTTGGGGAAGATATTATGATTGCTTGTCGTGCTCTGAAGATCTCTACTCACCCACCTGCAAAAATCTACAGGCTATTCATTTTAGATTCTAGAACTCATCCCAAAGCTTGGCGAATAGGGGAGGGACGGAGAATGCTCGGTCCCATGGAGCACCTTCAGATTAAAACTGAGAAGCTCCTTCCACAGCTTGGTTTCTCTCTTCTCACAGAGAGGAGAAGGTCTTTTGGCCAGTAACCTCAGGGCTGTTGGCTTCTTGTCTGCTTCCCTGCCAGCTTCAAGGTGATGGTTCTACATATAAAGCCCTATATGGTTCGGGACCTCGGGACCTGGCAGAACACCTTCTTCCAGTGAGAACTGCCCCTCCTTCTCACTCCTCCCAGGCTGCATGTCTGAGGATGCTGATCCTGAGAGAGGCCAGAAGGAGAAAACTAGGAACAGGGCTTTCTTGGCGGTCGCTCCCCAACTCTGGAATCAATGTCCTCCAGATATCTGCCTGGCCTCTTCACTGGCAATTTTAAAAGAAGCTTTTAAAACCCGGGCTGTTTCGACAGGCATTTTATAGAGTCACCAATAGAACTTGGTGAAACTATTAGCTAATACGAGCGCAATGCCACCATTTTGGATGCTTAAATGTTTTAATGTTGTTGCATTTTGTTAATCATTTATTATGTTGCATTTGTTTTTATACTGGTATCGAAGCTTTATGGTTAGAGGTTTCATTTAGTATTTTGCCTCTTGTTTGGATGTAAACTGCCCAGAGTGGCCTCTGGTTAGAAGGTTGGTACAATTAATTAATTAATTAATATTTAGCAGGGGGGAAAAACGGTTTATTTGCAAAGATCAACCCACACGATGCACTGATGGCGCTTCTTTCGCCATCAGGAACTACGCAGAAGAACCACAGGCTGATAAGATGTGATGGACCAGTAAATAACCAAAGTCTCAATAGTTATCCCAAGAGCCACAGACCAAAATTCCTGAGATTAACATCACCATCTCACTCTCCAGGAAGAAGTTTCCATATGTTCCAATTGTTGTATGTTGCTGCGTCGTCGTACAGCTTCTCTCTTGAGCAAGTCGGCCCTCTTTTAAAGCAAATCAACATTTTAACATTTTTTTCTCTAAAGAAATGCAAAGCGAGAACTTGCCTCTTCCTGCACAAACACCGGGACTGATTTGCTCATCTGTTTGATTTTTTCTGGACGTGAGAACTGGCTATCAGGAAAAGAAGGTGCTGTGGAAACTGAAGAGCAGCAAATCATGTTTAAAGAACTAGTTAGGTTCTTGTATAGGAAAAAAAGGTTTTAAAATTACACACAGTTATTGGCATGCAGAAGAAACGTCAACATACAAGGTGCACTTACAACAATGCACGCTACAGGAAAGCCGAAACCGGATTTGTCATAATGACCTGTCCATACTTTTTGAAGGTATCCTTTCCAGGAGACCACTCGTCTCTCCAACATAAGGTGTGTGCTGTATGTTACTATTCCTGACAAAAGGCAGAGGCGGGAAGTTTTTGGACTACAATTCCCAGAATCCTACAGTAGCATGGTCAGTTTCCCATCTCTGGATACAGATATAGATGAGGCTTGCAAAAGGTACCTTGTGTATACAATATCCACAAACAAAAGATGTGAGGGTCTATAGCTGAAGAGCCTTTGTTATGCTCCAGGTGATATGTTTTCTAGACAAGTCATTAGAGTCATTAAACCTTGGGTCCCCAAATGTTCTTTGACTGCAACTCCCAGAAATCCTGGCCAGCACAGTGAGTGGCGAAGGCTTCTGAGAATTTTAGTCCAACAACATCTGGGGACCCAAGATTAGGAATCACTGGTCTAATGACTCTAATGGATGAAAGTCCCTACAATCAATACCATTAAGGAAGTTCGCATCCAGGATTAACACGCTGTCCAACATCTCACCGTCACCCCCTGAACATTTGACCCCATATTGGGACTTTCCAATAGTACCAGTTCTAGGAAATCTGTGGTGATGGGATTCACAATAGGCAACACCTTACAGTGCTAGCATTATTGCTTGTGTGGCACCTGTCTGAACTCGTTGGGCACTAGCCCTCCTGAAAATGCACACGGCATTTATGTTTATACCCTTAAAAAAAAAAAATCTTATAATAAGGTGGAAAGAAAAGAGGGATCATTTTCACCTTTAAATGGAATGTCGGGGGTGTGTGTGTCTCCAAGGACTAGCTGCAGGGCAGAGAAACACTGCATTTAGGGTGCGGTTAGAGGAGGAAGAAGACTGCCTTTTGGGCTGCTTACGACACCGACTGGTACAAGCTATTTCAGGAGTGATTCCTTGTGGACAGAAGGGTTGCTTTAAGGGAGATTGCTTCTTTCATTACATCTGATCACACCCTAATCCAGATGGGTAGCAAAGGAAACTATTGGCACTGACTCCAAATTAATGAACCCAGCTTCTGCAAACTCCCATGCATCTCCGTCCAAAGATCGAGAACTTTTAAAATGTTCCCTTGCAGATATAGGACTGCTTTCTCCACTCAGACGACTACGTCGCCATCAGTATGAAGAGTCTCTTTCTTGATTTTCCAACGCCCTCCTTTGTATACTAGCTCCCCTGTCATGGCCTGTACCACCTTTAAGGTTCACACTTCAGGAACCACAAAAAGGGGTTCCAAACTGGAGAACATTTGTGCACAATCCTTTTCCGTAACAGTTTGGTGCATCATGAAATATCAAACAGAACCATACCCTTCACATGTAATATATAGAAGCTCTCAGCAATGCAAAGTTAGCAATAGTTTTTAGTATACAACAAACACTGTGTAGCAGACAAAGACTACAGCCCTCTTACTAGTTAGTCAATATTGTCAGCAGCAACAACAACAACAACAAATGAAGTGTGAAGCCACAAAACATTTTCAGCAGCTACATGCAGGAAGGGTCTTATTACTCACTTCCTGGAACATTCTCATTTGTCCCATCTGGGGGATCTGCTTTCTGGTCTGGTCAAAATTGCAACAGCAAAGAACAACACACTGTCACTCAACAGTGCAGATAACTGGGCATGTTTTAAGCACAGATGAATCAAATACTTTGCAGGTGACATTCCAAGCAGCTTCCCTCTCTCTCCCTTCCCTTCGGAATCCTTGCATATTTGGCTTCCGTAAAACTCTTGTCAATCCTTTTACTTTACATAGGCCAGAAGATTCTGCCAAAAAGATGCAACACTGGACCAACTTTACATAGGCCAGAAGATTCTGCCAAAGATAGAAAAGACCGTTCAAACTCCAGCTTCAATCCCCCACTGGCAATGTTTGTACGTGGTGGGATCCTACATGGCTTATATTGGCACAGCTTTCCACTCAGCAGAAGCTCCACAGGATACTGGCCATAGATTTTAAGGGAAGGTGAAAAGGTCTGACAAGGGCCATGCAGATCGCAGGACCTAATTTAACCCAGTTCAACATTTATTTGACTCTGGGAGTGAACCAAACCCAGTTTTGGGTGGGCACTCCCCTCTGCAGTCTGCCTGTCACATGTCTTTACAGTCACTCCAATAGCGTTTCTTCTCATTGTGAAGTTAACGTGACTTACGACAGAGCACCTAGGCCATATTTTTCCTCCAAGGGTCCTACAATAAAAGAAAGGCTACTGGGGGAAAATCCAACTGCATAGTTATCGAAGAGCAGAGGCCACACACTAAACAGTGCAGGCAGCTGGTCAATCTGTCATAGTCAAATATTTCATGTGAAGAATCTCACTGCTTGTGTCAGGAATGAGCAATCTCTGAGGGTCTTGGGATCACACGCCCCTTCCTTGGACCGTGGAGGGCAGAAGCACCCCCTCCTAACAGGACAGCCTTTCCCCTCCCCACCAGTGTTGCTTCAGAATCAGAGATCCTGTTTTCCAAAGGCCTGCATGGAAGAGGGGGCAAAATTTGCATTTAAACATAATTCCCATGGATGGCATTTCTAAAGGGTTCCTAAAAACAGGAAGTGAGCAGGGATTTGCGGTTTTGGAATGAATTGACAGAGTGCCCTTTGTGATTTAACACAGTCTGATTTCGGAACTTTTGTCCCTACAGTTTCGGGTGGCTGGAGCATGTGGTGGAGGGAGTATGGGACCCTGTGCCATATTTTGCCCTGCCTTTGGCATACACGTTCTCTACTTTTAATTTGATGGGCCAGAATCCTATTGCCGATTTACACTTGCATAAGACATGCCAGTCTTGGTGGCAAACCCCTGTTCATAAACCAGGCACTGGTCGGGCTCCCGCACAATTGTGTTAATTGAGCTCATATGCAAGACTGAAACCAGTGTCTCATGTATGAATGGCAATTTACTGCAAGACTCCGGCAAACTCCCTTATGCAGATGTAAATCAACAATAGGATCCTGCCCATTATAAGATCATTTGGTTATTGTGGGTTTTTCGGGTTCTTTGACCATGTTCTGAAGGTTGTTCTTCCTACAGCATATAAGATCATTTAAGATGAGATAAGCATATAAGCATATATGCTTACAAGCATACAAGATCATTTGTTCGCTAAACGCTTTGCTGTTATTGATAACAAAAAACAGCTCTAATTTCTTGCATGCATTCCTGCAAGCTTTGATCCTGCTGAAAACTGGACCAAGCAGGCTTAACATGGGATGGGATTACAACCAATATAGCTACCAAACTATCTTCATTTATAGCGCCATCAAAGAAAGACAGAGGGACATTACTGACAAGACTAAATCAGGCCATACTCAGTTACCTAAAAAGTTAAATATTAGCTTTCATAGAACACAGAAGCCATTTGCTGGGAAGAATTCACACACATACACATACTACTAAAGCAGATGGTTACACTCATGCAGCCACAAATAAAATAGTTACCATCTTCAGCACTAAGCATATAGTCTTCCTTTGGAAGGTTTATTTTTCTTTTATCTGTGCAGGAGGGAAAACGGTGACATAATTAGACATTTCAGCTGTTCAAAAAGCTATTGTGGGTTCTCAAGAGGTGCCTCCAGTGGGAAAAAGAAGCAAAAGTTTGCAAGCAACACCAAGTTCAAATGATAATGTCTTTGCTATAAAACATTCTAGTGGGAGGTAATGTAACCCGAAATAAATAAAAATAAAAGCAGTTATGTTTTAATTTCTAATGTAGTTTCTCTGGCAGCTTATCAAAATCGTTAAGAACAGCTAGTTGTCTATAAACATCAAAGGTGTTTTTCATATAAAATATAAAATTCTATAAAATTTATAGTATCTAATGTGCTTTTTGTTAAATTGTTGATATCAACATTTTCGTAAAATATTTGGTAAGACAAGAGACGTCTGGGTTATTTTAAAGAGTTAACTGAGTTAGCACAACCTCCCATTTAAAAAGTAATAACAGTATTCAAAAAAGCAAAGTGAGATGTCTATATACCTCATCATCGTACTTAAAGCACTATCTGGGAGGTTTACAATTTAATTATGCAGGATACATAATTATGCAGGCTACATCAAACTGGTACTCATTTTACTGATACTGAATGGGTGGAAGGCTGAGTGAACCTTGAGCCAGCTACCTGGGATTGACTCGGGTCGGGAGCAGAGTTTTGGCTGCAGTACTGCGGTTTAATCACTGCGCCACAAGGCTTCTATATTTGATATTTAACATGTAATGTGTTACATGTTGTACAAACAACTCATTATTTTACAAGTAATATGAATTCCTATGCATTACTTTTTTCATTGAAAATCCTTAAAAATAAAAAATGGCCCCAACTCTTTCAAAAACAAGTTTGCCAAAATATTTCGGCAATGACAACTAGATGTTCCTTCGTACATTCAAAAAGGAGCAATATTACTTTGTGTTACACTATTTCTTAAAAAAGGAAAAGGGGAATATTATGCCTTCATTCGCCTGGAGGTAATATGTCACCGGCAATGTTGTTATGTTCAATGTGCAGTAAAATCTAAAGCAATAAGCAGAAGTAGCCGGATAAAGCTGTATTTAGTAGCTGTGCTCAACTCACCAATAGCTGGAGACAGACAATACAGTGAACACTGAAAGAGAACCATCTTTTCTTACAGGACCCACTTACATGTCCACTTCTTTTGCCCCAGCATAGCCTCTGGTCAAACAGGTAAACCTGTTTGCCAGAGGCAAAAGTAAGACAAGCACATACGAACAGAGATTCATGTTT